CACAGGTAGATAAATATCAAATCATTCTGAATACCTGAGAAATCCATCTAAGGACCGACAGAACAAACTGCACAACTATAGGGAGAGAAGAGGACACATTGTAGAAGGTAGGAGACATGATTTGGGGGAGAAATGGATCACGGGTGCTGCAGAGGGTGGAGGGAGGTTGGTGTCCTGGTCACAGAGAGAGATGAGAGACAGAGGGGCACACAGGGGATCACATAAAGAAAACACTTCCCCGGGACACCTGTGTGACTCAGCGGCTGGGTGTCTGCCTTTGGTTCAGGGCATGATCCCATCTGGGGATCGAGTTCTCCGCCCCACTGCGTTGGAAAGAGTTTATTTATTTATTCATAAGAGACACAGAAAGAGAAGCAGAGACACAGGCAGGTGGAGAAGCAGGCCCCCTGCAGGGAGGCTGATGTGGGACTCAATACCGGGAATCTGGAATCAGGCCCTGAGCCAAAGGCAGATGGTCAACTGCTGAGCCACCCAGGTGTCCCAAAAAGAATCTTTAAAAAGAAAAAAAAAAAAAGAAGAAGAAGAAGAAAACACTTCCTCCAAAGCCATTGACTGGGAAAACAAGATGGGCTGAGTTTTGTGAGTTTTTACAACCAGCGGGGTTCAAGCCTGGAGTTGTAGGGGTCTGTGGCATGGCTGGTGTGGAGGCCTGGGGCGCTGCAGTGCTCCTGTGGAGGAGGAGGGCAGGTAGCCCGGAAGTAGGCTGACAAAGCTGAGGATCCCATGGGATGCACTAGGAGAGAGAGCTCCCCCTTCTTGGAGCGCATCTGAGAGAGGTGGCATTGCCTCTCTGGAACAAAGGAGTTGGCAAGTGCCATTACCCACCCCTGCCCCTCAGCATAAACACAGAGACACCTGCTGAGGCCTGCTAACCTGGATACTGGCTCCTTCCTGAACTTTACTCCAGACTCCACACCCCTGTGCCTTGGTACAACTGCCTTTCTAGGACCAAGTGGCACCAATCCTAGCAGCTCAGGAGAACCTCCACCAGAGGATCAGTGTGGGTCTATACTGTGCCAGGTCCCTAAGTTTGAAGTTTTATTTTATTTTATTTTATTTATTCATGAGAGAGTGAGAAAGAGAGAAAGAGAGAGGCAGAGACACAGGCAGAGGAAGAAGCAGGCTCCATGCAGGGAACCCAATGCTGGACCTGATCCAGATCCCGATCCTGATCCCAGGTCTCCAGGATCACGCCCTGGGCCGAAGGTGGTGCTAAACCACTGAGCCACCCAGGCTGCCCTAAGTTTGAAGTTTTAAAACTCAGTTAGCCTGCCAGGCATATGACACAGGTGCACTGGGCTGCCAGGTGGGCAGGTGGCCCACCAGACAGGGTGAAGACAGGGATCTGAGGGACACCCGGGACACACAGGGGAAGATTGTTTACTCTTCTAACTTACTTCAATAAGCTTCATAATGCCAACACTGGGGGCCTAAGCTCCTTATACCAAGCCCTGCTCCCCTGCATTCTGTAGATGCTGCTTTTCTCAGGCAAACCTGCAGTGGGGGCCCTCTCCCAGAAAATCAGCACCCCTGCAACATGTATCATGTCTACTGACCATAGAGAGAAGCAAAACTTCAGCTCTAAAGGAAATAGCATCAGGTCTCTTCTAACAAACAGACCAGGGCACACCTAGTTAAAACTTGTCACACTCTGGCCAAGGTCCTATCACTCCCCACTGCAGGCAAGGAGAAACTCTGCAAAAGACTGACCTAAGGGAAACAGCAGTCAAAACACAGCAGCAGCCAGCACATAACACATACCATGTACCAGAGACACTTCCTAAAGCACTAGGCCCTGGGCAATATATGACCTCTTATTTATAAAGCCTTTGCTCTCAGGAGCAGGAAACATAACAGGCTTTCCTAACACAGAAAAAGACAGAATTCCAAGATGGAGGAATTCATCTCAAAAGGAAGAAAAAGAAAAGGTAACAGCCAGGGATCTAATCGAAACAGATATAAGTAATATGCCTGGTCCTGAATTTAAAGCAACAATGACAAGGATACTAGCTGTGCTTGAGAAAATCACAGAAGACACCAGAGAGTCCCTTACCACAGAGGTGAAAGGCCTGAAAACTAGTCACACTGAAATGAAAAATGCAATAACCAAGATTTGAAACTAACTGGATGTAATGACCACAAGGATGGAAGAAGTAGAGGAATGAATGAATGAGATAGAAGAAAAAAGTCTGGAAAACAATGAAGCTGAAAAGAAGAGGGAAAGAAAAATATTCACAAATGTAGACTTAGGGAATTCAGTGCCTCCTTAAAGCATAATAACATTTGTATCATAGGAGTCCCAGAAGAAAAGGAGAGTAAAAGAAGGTAGTAGGTTTATTTGAGGAAATTATAGCTGAAAACTTCCCTAATCTGGGAGAAGGAAACAGACATCCAAATCTAGGAGGCACAGAGAACTCCCATCAAAATCAACAAAAGCCAGCCCACACCAAGACGTATCATAGTCAAATTTCCAAAATATAAAGAAAAACTCCTAAAGGAACCAAGACAAAATAAGCCCCTAACTTACAAGGGAAGACAAATAAGATTAGCAGCAGATCTTCCCACAGAAACTTGATAGGCAAGAAGCAGTGGCATGCTATATTCAATGTGCTGAATGGAGAAAAATATGCAGCCAAGAATACTCTATCTAACAAGGCTATCATTCAGAATAGAAGGAGAGAGAAAGAGTTTCCCAGCTACATTACAAAGCTGTAGTGATCAAGACAGTATTGTACCGGCACAAAAAAAGACAGATCATGAGAACAGAACAAAAAACCCAGAAATGGACCCATAACTATATGGCCAACTAATCTTTGACAAAGCAGGAAAGAATATCCAATGGAAAAAAGTCTCTTCAAGAAATGGTATTGGGGAAAGTGGACAGCAACATGCAAAAGAATAAAACTGGACCACTTTCTTACACCACACACAAAAATAAATTCAAAATGGATGAAAGACCTAAATGTGAGATAAGAAAACACCAAAATCCTAGAGGAGAACATAGGTAGCAGCCTCTTTGACATCAGCTATACCAATTTCTTAATTTGATAGGTCTCTAGAGGAAGGGAAACAAAAGCAAAACTGAACTATTGGGACTTCATCAAGACTAAAAGGCAACCTACAGAATGAGAGAAGATATTTGCAATGACATACCTGATAAAGGATTAGAATCCAAAATCTATAAAGAACTTATTAAAGTCAACACCCAAAAAACAAATCATCCTGTTAAGAAGTGGGCAGAAGACCTGAATAGACATTTTTCCAAAGAAGACATCCAGATGGCTAACACAAAAAGATGGTCCACATCACTCATCACAGAAATACCTACCAAAACTACAATGAGATACCACCTCACACCTGCAGAATGGCTAAAATGAACAACTCAGGAAACAACAGATGTTGGCCAGGATGTAGAGAACGGGGAACCCTCTTGCACTGTTGGTGGGAATGCAAACTGGTGCAGCCACTGTGGAAAACAGTATGGAGGTTCCTCAAAAAGTTAAAAATAGAATTCCCCTAGATTCAACAATTGCATTACTACGTATTTGCCCAAAGAACAACAACAACAAAAAAAATACTGATTGGAAGGGATACCTACACCCCAGTGTTTATAGCAGCGTTACCAATATTAGCCAAATTACAGAAAGAGCCAAAATGTCCAACAGCTGATGAATGGATAAAGATGTGGTAGATGCCAACAATGGAATATCACTCACTCTGTTTGCAATGGTGTGGATGGAGCTAGAGTGTATGATGCTAGGTGAAATAAGTCAAAGACAAATACCATATGATTTCACTCATGTGGGATTTAAGAAACAATACAAATAAACATAGGGACAAAAAAAGAGAGGTAAACAATAAAACAGATTCTTTTTTTTTTTAATAAAACAGATTCTGGGATCCCTGGGTGGCGCAGCGGTTTAGCGCCTGCCTTTGGCCCAGGGCGCGATCCTGGAGACCCGGGATCGAATCCCACGTCGGGCTCCCGGTGCATGGAGCCTGCTTCTCCCTCTGCCTGTGTCTCTGCCTCTCTCTCTCTCTCTCTCTCTCTCTCTCTCTGTGTGTGTGACTATCATAAATAAATAAAAATTTAAAAAATTTAAAAAAGAAAAACAGATTCTTAACTGTACAGAACAAACTGAGGGTTGCTGCGGGGGGGTTGGCTTAAATGAGTGATAGGTATTCAGGAGGGCACTGGAGATGAGCACTGGACGGTAAGCCTAAGAGCTGAATCACTAAATTCTACACCTGAAAGTAATATTACACGGTATGTTGACTAACTGGAGTTATTTATTTATTTATTTATTTATTTATTGGAGTTTAAATAAAAACTCGAAATTGAACTGGAATCTATTTATTTACTTATTTATTGGAGTTTAAATAAAAACTCGAAATTGAAACAAAACCAACAACAAAAAACAAATATAAAGCCTTGGTGGTCATTGTAAGGGCTTTGGCTTCGTTATGAGAGATCCGGGAAGCCTCTGGAAGGCTTTGAGAGGAGGAGGGGTTTACATTCCAATCGGGTGCAGTTTGCTGCTGCGCTGACCCAGAAGCAAACACGTGGAGGCAAAAGCGGGATACGAGAGCATTTAGTATCTCAGTAATCCAGGCAGAGTTGAAGGGGGTGCTCCCACCCGTCTGGTAGACGCACGAGAAGGGTTGGACTTTGCACATACTTGGACACAGAGTCAACAGGACCTGTGGGTGTGAGGGATTTATCAGCTTCGACCTCCTCCTCCCGTTCACGGCTTGCGCCTCCGCTGGAAGGGCGCTGCTGGGAAGGGGAAGGAGCCAGCGTGGAGCCAGCGTGGAGCACGCCGGGAGTGAGGCAGCGCCCGGAGGTGCTCTCGAGCCCCCGGACCGCAGGGGACACCTGCCGCCCCGCCCCCCAGGAACGGGCTGGAAAACTCCGGCTCCCAGCGTGCCCCGCGCGCCGGCCCGCGCGCCCAAGGGGCGGAGCCTGCGCGCGCGTGCGCCGAGGCGGAGAGGGCTGGCGGGTGAGGCGAGGCGGTCCCTTCGAGCGCGGTAGTTTGTCCCGTGAAGGGAGGCAGGACGGTTAGGCGCTCTCGGCCGCCTCTTCCCCGGTAAGTGCGGCGGCGGTGGCGGTTGGCGCCGCCAGGTGGGGGACGGCCTCCGGAGGAAGGTGCCGGCGCGCCTGGCGACCCCGTCTTAGACGTTTCGCGCTCGCGGCCGTCGCGCCTCGGGGGCTGTTTGTCGCCTCCGGGAGGCGGGAGGCGGGAGGCGGTCGGCGTAAGCTCGGTGCCCGCGGGCCCGGCCGCCGGGGTTTCGCCCGCCTGGCGGGTGGGGAGGCCTGAGGTGAGGGAAGGGGCGGGCGGGGAGAGCCGAACCGCCGGGAGCCGTGAGGGGTCTCGCGGGGCGCCGGGGACGACCGCCGCGCAGCCCCGCGCACGCGCGCCAGTGGAGCGAACGAGGGCAGCTTGAGGTGCCTTCGAACCCCGCAGTCCTGTGGAGGGGGGCTCGCTCGGAGTATCGACCCCGCCCCTCGCCCGGAAGACTTGAACTCTTCACGGTGTTGTGTGCCCACGACGTGCAGGACTGCGTCCGGGGATACAATAGAGCATGCCCAGGCGGTTCCCCGGTGGTGGCACTTCGGCCCCGGGGCATGAGATGCGATGGCTTGGGGAGCCTGGAGCCTGAGGAGAAGTCCCGCAGGTCCCGCTTGAGGCCCGCGATGTGGGGACACTGCTAAGTACCGAGACTACCGACTCCTCGGCACGGCGACTCTGTAGCTCCCGGGTTTGCAGAGCCACGCTTGGACCCTGCCCGGTGCGAATCCCAAACCAGAGGCTGTAGCCCGGACTGTGGAGCCCAGGTCGCGGTGGCAACCTGCTGTTCATAGTGGTGGAGAAGATGTGCGCCGGTTGTGAAGCACGGGTTGTTCATCGGGAAATCTGGAAGGGATTAGAGTTTCTCTGGAAAACAAACACAAAACCCAAGTTGTTGAGGAGTAGCAGAGCATTCTAGGCAAAGAGAGTGCACTGGTCGAATACGTGTATCTAATATTACTCCCTCCTGGAATCTCACTAAAATGACAGTAAAAAAGGGTTTTTCGGTTTTTTAGAGACATGAACCCAAATGATGGAGAGAATGGGAAAGGAAACAATAGCAGCGAAACATTGGGGTCTGGAAAGCAAATGTACTTAGCAAACCCTAGCTTGATTCTGAACCCGCAGCACGGAATGACTGGAACAGGCCCGTACAAACCACACGGAAAGTGGCAGCACCGGCCACCCTGGGAACTGCCACTGAAGCAAATGGTGTGGGGGTGTAGGTGGAGGGCTTAGATAAACCTAAGTTCAGTGAAATCTTTTGAAGAAGCGATTAGATATCTACATCCCCTTTCCTAGTTCACATTTTTGGGTGACTGCCTTTCTCCCGTTAGAAGGCAGGAGGCTATTCTCTGAGAACATAAAACAGGGTCTTTGAACCAGGGCACCCAGGCACAGTTAATTATGGGGGCTACATTTATAAAAGGGACACTGAAGGCTGGGGTCCCTTGTCGTCCTTCTCCCACTCAAGAGCCCAGAATTTTTCTTGCCAGACTAATTCCCCTCAAGCTCAAATAAGAATTTTTCTACACACACACACACACACACACACACACATGTGTGTGGAAGGACAGACAGTAAGTTGGTCACAGTGGTTGCTTCTGGGAAAGGGAAGGAACTAGGTAGCCGGAGGAAAAGGTCTTAATAACTATTTACATTTTTGTTTTGTTTTGTTTTGTTTTTGAAATTTTGTGCCATATGCATATATTATCTATTCAAAAATAAAATATGTTCCTTAAAAAATATAATTTCAAATTATACCCTTAGGTAAGGCAATTCCTCTCCCACAAGTTTATTATATAGCTTTGTCTACACACATGAGAAAATGTAAGGATGTGTCATTCATTGCAATATTTTAGTAAAATATTAGAGACAATCTCAGTGTTCATTAATAGATGATAGTTGGTGAAATAAATTTTGTATGACTCTTGGAATATTCTGTAGACATAAAATACAATGAAAGAAGCTCATTGTATAAAGAAAAGAGTAAACATAGCATGTATTTTAAGCGGTGGAGGATTTAGAAAAACACAAGTATATTAAAAAAAGGAATATGTATATTTGTATAAGATATCTGGCAAGATCTATAAAAAGCAGGTAATGTTAGCTGACTTTGGAGAAGGGATCTGAGTAACAAAGGCAAAAGTGGAATGAGGGAGGCTTTTCACCATATAATTTTGGTACTTTTTGAACTTTGAATCCTCTTATTGTCATGTATTCAATAAATGAGTGGATAAATGTTAGCAAGAAAAAAATAAATGAATAATGGAGATCCTGATGTTGGTAATACCCTGAACAATAAAAAGTCTCTTAAAATAGGGAAGAATTCTGCATAACAGTCCCCAAATCTCAGTGGCTTACATTTCATGCCCTTGGTTCTTCAGGCCAACATTTCTTGGTTGTGGCTTAGATCTTGGCTAGATTAGGCTGGGCTCCAGACTTCAGTTTTGGGTTCATATCTGCAACATGTATCTTCCTTCTGGGACCCAGGCTGAAAAAGCAGAAATACCTAGAACATGCTTTTCTGATGGCTGAGGGTGGGAGTTGAAGGGGGCTTCTAGAAATTTGCCGTGTTTCAGTTCAAAGTGACTCATTGCAACTTTCATATATATTCCATTGTCACATAGGCAAGCCCCAAATCAGTAGGGTGGAGATGTATGTACACTCTGCCAATTGGGAAGCTCTGCAAAGGCACCTAACAAAGGATGTGGATATATACTTCTGTTGCAGAGCAGAGGAGGAGGAGTTGGGAAAGATGATGATGAAAGAAATGACTTAATAGAAAGATACTGTGAAATTAAATTGAAGATAGTTGTTTGAGAATAAAGATGCTTAGAAAAAAAGATATCCATATATGCCAAGATACATTTTACTTTGATAGGAATTTTCTTAAGGTTTCCATGTCAAGGTATCACATTGGCTTTTCTTAATGTAACATCTGCCATCCCCACACCTGGCCCTGTAACCAATTCTGAGTGCCTGTGGCTTTAGGAAGCTTGAAAGTAATGAAATAATGCACCTATAAAGGCACTAGTTCTTAGAGAAGTAGTTCTAAATATGTTTATTTCAGCTACTGAATGTGTTCACTCATAGTTCTTATGTCATATCCATGTCTGCCAACCCATCTTTCACAACAGAATCTTCTTTTCAGGGAGATGTCCTTTGCTTCTCAGATGTAATGCACTTTAAGTTTGTTATTCAACAGTGAAAATGAGTCATACGGAGGTAATATATATTTTCATATGTTCTGAATCTTCAGGGTTCGTTCTTTATTTCTTTTTCTTTTTTTCTTTTTTCTTTCTTTTCTTTTTTAAAGTCATGTGGCTCCAGAGTAATTTTCTTATTTTCAACTTGTACTGTAAGAGACAGTATAGCATTAATGGTTAGAAGGAAGGACTTTTGGAGCAAACTGCCTTGAGTTTGAATCCTAGCTAGTGGCTCTATAACCTTGGGCATGTTACTTAACTTGCTGTACCTCTGCTTTCTCGTCTATAAAATGGAAGTAATAATAGTACTTGTTTCATAGAAGTATTAGGAAGGTTAACTAAGTACAGATAAAGCACTTATACTGCCTGACACACAATAAATACTTAAATATTAGCTATCGGTAATATTGCTTCTTATTTAGAGGCCATGTGTATCATGGGTCTCACAGAATAAACATACTGTTATTTAGTTGTCTGAATAGGCAAGGAAGTAATTTTTGATCCCTTTATTCTCTTGAATTCCAGGTTAAATTAAAAATACCTTTTGGAAATAAATTACTAGATGCTGTTTGTTTGGTACCTAACAAGAGCTTAACATATGGAATAATTCTTACACATGGAGCGTCAGGAGATATGAACCTTCCTCATTTGATGTCACTGGCATCCCATCTTGCATCTCATGGTTTTTTTTGCCTGAGATTTACCTGTAAAGGCCTTAATATTGTACATAGAATTAAGGCATATAAATCAGTTTTGGTAAGAAAATTTCTTTATATTTACTTATAACAGAATTTTGTTTTAGAATTCTTAATACATTTAAGGCAAATTCTATTTGGTTTATTTTAAAAAGCTTTTAATGACTATTCTTAGAAACTCAACAGTATATTAAGGCTGTATAGTAGTCAGATTTCCTTTTTTTTTTTTGCTCTCAGTTTCCATGGAGATGAATGCTTACATCATAAATGTTCTCCATGGTACTGTCAAGGAAGCTATGTATGATGTAATTTTATTACTAGAATTACATAACTTCAGAATATAGTTCTGGATATTTGCCTACTATACTCTGAATGTACAAATACAGCACAGTTTTGAAACTAAAATCCTAGGATAACAAATTTGAAATTTTTAAAATCCAGATTATTTCAAACTTGCTAAGTTTTTCAGGGCTTTAAATTAGATTTTAGTACTCTTAAATTCTGTATTAGTTGGAAGCTTTTACTGGCTTTTTTTAAAAATATAATTCTTTAAAAATATTTTAGTACTTTTAATTTTTTTAGACAGGTAAAGTGATTTTTTTTTTCTCATTTATTCACCTGTATTTACCCAGCTATGATCTGATAGTGATAACATGACCAGAAGAGCAAAGAACTGGTTACCTCTTTCAAGAAGAATCCCTTAAGATTTTATGGTTGTCTTTGCAAAGAGTTTCATACATTTCAGTAATGATAAGAAATATATGTTGGTTTTCCAGTGAAATATTTTATAGGAAAGGAACTGATAAGTTTTTGGTTGGTTTTTCTAGAATTACCTAAAGACCTCAGGAGAGTACAAACTGGCAGGTGTTTTCCTTGGCGGTGAGTTGAATACTTGCTTTTAAATCTATTCATACTGATATAGGAACAGGTAATCAAGAATTAAAATTAATTGATGACAGGAAGCTAATTTAAGGATTTTCTTTGTTTTGTTTTGGTAAGTCACTTTCTTGTATAACATCAAGGTACTTTATATATTTAAAGCAAATTTCAGCCTTATAAATATGTATTGTAACCCAAAGTTCACTTCTTTTATTTATATCCCTGAGCCACTGTCTCTCATGATTCTTCAAAAGATTGTCTTTACCTCAAGTATTCTTCAGGAAAAAAAAATTCCTTTTTTTTTTTTTTTAACTTAGGATCAATTATTAACTCTTCATAGATGTCCATTATGGGTATTACAATTTGTTAATTGTCATCTTTTGGAGTTAAGTGATACAATCATGATGGATGAACAGTAAATGAAATCTAATATGCCATATTATCACACTTATGTATATGAATGTTTGTATTTCAAACTGAACTTAATTTTAATTGATTTTAGGTCGCTCAATGGGCTCAAGAGCAGCTGCTTCTGTAATGTGCCATATTGAGCCAGATGATGCTGATGATTTTGTTCGAGGTCTCATTTGTATTTCTTACCCACTGCACCATCCAAAGCAGCAACATAAACTTAGGGATGAAGATCTCTATCGTATAAAAGATCCTGTGTTGTTTGTGTCAGGCTCAGCAGATGAAATGTGTGAAAAGGTGAATTATAACTTGATGTTTGTGTAAGTGAGAAAGTGAATGAAAGTATCTTGAGAACAAGATATTACCGGCAACTTTCAGTCTCTTTAAAAGGAACTGATCGGACTAATGTTAGTTTTGTGACTTAGTTACCTATTACTTTGGAGATATAAGCATACTGGCAGAATTAATCTCTGTGGAAAGAGTTGCTAAATGGATTGACTCTTATTTGGGAATGAAAGATTAAATCTGAAACTTAGGATTTATACTAGACTTTACATTTGGTTTATCATTTCAAAATTCAAGCAGATTCTTCTATTTGTTATAAAATTGACTTGAGAAAAAGTAACTTGTACACGTTACTACATATTCTCAGGAATGAATGCTTGATTTATTCTGTGGTATTGCTGTATTTGAGATGTAGACTGCCATTTCTGTGGACATTTCTTTTAATATTCCATTGCCTTGAAAGTTATCTGTAGAGTAGGTAATCAATGGATGCCAGTAAAGGAGGTGCAGGGGAGAGAGAGGATCTTTATTAAACCCTAAAAGAGCACTGGTCTAGCATCCTCTTCTTTTTTTCCTTTAGAACTTGTTGGAGAAAGTGGCACAGAAAATGCAAGCTCCCAATAAAATCCACTGGATTGAGAAGGCAAATCATTCCATGGCAGTGAAAGGACGGTCAACAAATGATGTTTTCAAAGAAATAAATACACAGATTTTGTTTTGGATCCAGGAAATCACTGAAATGGACAAGAAATAATTATATTTAGCTGAAAGCCCTGTTATTTTGAATACAAATACAGTTCATTTGATAAAGAACAGCATACCTCTCAGCATTATGAGATATTTCAAATGAATTTAATGTTCTTTAATGTTTCCCCCATTTTTAAAACCTGTTTTAATTGTGAAATTAATGTCCTTTATATAATATCTTTTAAAAGCACTGTTATAGTTGTATAAAGATGATGTACAAATATTGAAGGTGGTCTAAATATAATTTATTTTCATTAATATAGTTAAGTTTTGAAAAAAATTAAACGTTTGAATTTTGTTACAAGGGAACTTTTGTCTTATTTGCTGTCAACTGAGCAGGTACTCTAATTTTGCAGAGCAGTGTCTTTAAAAAAGAAAACCGTTTACTGTGGTAAATTTAGTTTTATAGAATGTGTACATTCATTCACCTAATCTTTTAATCTCAATTAGGGAATAGGAAGGAAGATATATTTTCAGATATGGGGACCTTGAACATTGTTTTTTGGAATGAAGTAACAACTTTCATTCAAAACATTTCTTGAAGGCCTATTATAGGCAAAGCCTGATTAGATTTGTGAAGAGTAAATACTTGGAGCTTAAATAAAATGGAGGATGTCTAGACCTCTCTCTGATTAAGGGGAAAATGAAATAAGGACGAAGTATTGGGACTAACATCTGTGCTGTGTCTAGGCAGAGTTAGTTAGGTCACTTAATTTTGGCTTGGAAAGTTAAGTTATTACCTGGACTGGACTTAAGAGATATTGAGTTACATACTAAAAACAGTAGTGTCTATATTTCCTACAAAGGGCACAATATGTGATGGGGCTCATATACATTTGTAGTAAAGGATAGTTTTCTATAGTAAGATATTAACTCTTTCTTGGCTTCTCTACTACTATAATATTAGGCCTTTCAGACAGCCTTAGAGTGGGCTGAGAAGCCTGTAGATTTTTGAGGTCCCTCATTCATTCTTCTCTGATAGAGTCCGTGGATTTTAATTATTTGTTAATTTTTCTAAATAGTTCATAAGAACAGAAATTTAGATAATAATGTCCAAATTTTTTATATTCTAGAATGAAACTATGAAATCAAATTTTCTGTATCACTCAGTGTATAATACGTTTTGACTGAATTTCTTGAACAAGGCCTAAATTTTTAAAAATAGGATATATTTCATCACTAACATTCAACTGATGTCAAAATATTATAAACGTGTAAAAAACATCCATAGCTGACAAATATAATCCTGGTGTAGAAGTATAAATCATTTGGGAAATATTAATACTGTAAATCAGAAGTAAAACTAATGAGAAAATGAAAACTTACAGGGCAGACCATAATATAAAAATACAATGAAAAAATAGATTTAAAAGGTTACTAACCAGATTATATAGTTACAATACTCAAGTTTGCAGATTAAACTATAGGCATAATATAGATGACCAAAGATAGGTATATCAAATATAGAGAGAACGTAGAAGGTCCTTTAAAGTTGTTTTTTTTTTTTTAAGTTTGCCTGTAAGAAACTTTTTGATTGATGAAATGGCTTGTCATTTGAGAACTGTGTACCTAGTTAGGGGTGGGGAACATACAACTCCTAGATATGAGTGATCTGTGTAAGGCTGAAGTGAACATTTGTGAAAAGGACCCAGCTGCTCTTCACAGATTTGCCACATCTTGTAGCAAAAATGTGCAGGCCCTTCAAGTTTGAGATTATGGTTACTTGTGGCGCCTCTGGTAGGCATCCTTGATTCATGGCACAACCATTACCTAGACCAATAGTTCTCAGCTAGTGATTTTTGCTGCCTGAGGGACATTTGACAGCGTCTGGAAACTTGGTTGTCACGATTGGGGTGGGGGTGCTGGCATCCGATAGGTAGAGGAAAGGGATGCTGCTGACAGTCTATAATGCACAGGACAGTCAGCCATAACTGAAGTATCTGATCCAAAATGTCAGTAGTGTCCAGGTTGAGAACCTTGTCTCAGACAAACCTTAGTTTTGGAGATATTTTGAAATCCTTTCTCCCTCACTCCTTTTCTACCCCTTCCAAACCCATTTGCTCCCTTTTAGTTGCCAAACCCTGGGTTTTCAGTCTCAAAGTCTGATTTTAACACTGCCATCATTCTAATTGAGGCCTTTATCAATTTTCATCTGTATAATTGCAATACCCTAATTGATTTTCCTATTTTGTGGCCTCCTCACTTCAACAAACCAGTTCACACCCTCATCTCTAAAACTGTTGTTGGAACTCCAAAAGTGACAAGGTTAAAGCCTTTAGTTCAAGGCTGTCTGCAATAGGCTCTACCAACATTTTAGCCCATTTCCCCCATACTCTGAAACTGTACAGCACAGTATTCCAGTCACAAAGTTTTATTTTTTAATTTTTATTTTTTTAATATATATTGTTTATTTACTCATAAGAGACACAGAGAAAGAGAGAGGCAGAGACACAGGCAGAGGAATAAGCAGGCTCCATGCAGGAAGCCTGATGCGGGACTCGATCCCGGGTCTCCAGAATTACGGCCTGGGCCGAAGGCGGGCACCAAGCCACTGAGCCACCCGAGGATCCCCCAGTTACAAAGTTTTAGAGCAAAGTCTTCCTGCCTCCTTTTCCTGAAATTTTCTTGTAGTCTTTGCCTGTTACCGAATCCTCCTCATTCTTTAATACCCTTAAATTCTTTTTCCCTCTTTACAGCTTTTCCTCCTTGGAACCCATACAGTATTTTCCTCTCTTTGTTGTTTTTCTAAAGATTTTTTATTTATTTATTCGTGAGAGACACAAAGGCAGAGACACAGGCAGAGGAGAAGCAGGCTCCAGGCAGGGAGCCGGATGCGGGACTCGATCCTGGGTCTCCAGGATCAGGCCCTGGACGGAAAGGCGGCACTAAACTGCTGAGCTACCCGGGCTGCCCTCTCTCTTTGTTGTTAATCACACTTTGCCTTCTCAGTACATTTATTGGGATATTTGTGCCATACCACATATTAAATACTCCATGTCAGGGAATGACATGATCTTTGTATTCCATAGAGCATTTTTTATACTTGTTTAGTGCCTTTCATACTCATTATTCAATATTTGTTGTATTGAACTAAGATATTTAGAGGGAGAATTTTTTTTTAAGATTTATTTATTTATTAATGAGAGAGAGAGAGAGAGAGAGCAGCAGAGACACAGGCAGAGGGAGAAGCAGGCTCCATGCAGGGAGCCTGATGTGGGACTCCATCCCTGGTCTCCAGGATCACGCCCCGGGCTGGAGGTGGCGCTAAACCGCTGAGCCCTAGAGGGAGAATTTTTTTAACCATTATGAGCAATCCCTGATTTTATATTGCTGCTTTATACACCTGTTACTGGGGCTTTTTCCTGAAACATAAAAAAAAAAAAAAAAAGCTTAGTTCACAATGTCTATAAATAGTGTAAAGAAGGTGACATTAGTACATACAATAGATTTTTTAAAAAACTTCAACAATTTTTTGGAGTGTTCTCTTGTGTTCATATTACTGTTAGTGATGGGGTTTCTCTGGCGTTATTTTTCTATTGTCTTTGTAATTTTTAAAAACAAATCCAAAAAATAAATAAATAAATAAATAAATAAATAAATAAATAAATAAATAAAAACAAATCCAGCTAGCACTTTTTATGCAGCTTACTTGAGATTGGTACGAGAAGAGGTTTCTGGTGTAAAGAACAGAAGTATCTATGTTGGAAACTAGGTGATTGTACTTTTTTAGTAGGTAAGTACATAGGTAACAACCATGAGAAAGCCCTGAAGGAGGATGCTCTGTACCTCTGTGCACATTTCCCTATCAGCAGGAGTGGTACACAGAAGTTCCTTTTCAGTTCTGACAGAGCTGCTCTGTAGTGTACTAATTAGGGATTCAGTGCCACAAAGCTCTGAAAGATCTAAGGAACTGTAAAGTGTTAAAACATTGAATACTCTTTACAGTAGTGTTAAATGAATTAGAGAGTGCCAGCTATCAGGCAACTGAAATTGAGTATCTTGCCAGCAGCAATAAATATTCTAGAAAAACCCAGCAGTATAAAATCACCTTGATTGTGTATGTGGGAGGGGTGTCAGAGAGGAGGGTGTATTTTATCCTAGAAAAATCCAGAGGAATTGCTGAAGTTTCTTCAAGAACTAATGAATGCCTGTCCTGCATTCTGGAGGGCTATTCTTTGCAAAGACAAACCCCAAGATCATAGTTAAACCTAAGTAAAGATTATAAATACCTGCAGACTATGGTTGAGTAGATTGGAAGACTATAAACTGATGCTTAGGATGTGTCACTGAGCTCATTATTTCCAATACTCCAGGAAGGTAAGAGCTCAATAAATCTTTCTTGCACTCAATTATACTTAATGTGACAGAAGAGACCTGAACAATTAACTCTAGTATAAAGAATATACTTCTTTCCTCAACTCACCTTGAGTAAGTGAAAACAAAGGAAGAATTAATTACGTCTTTCAAAGAGAAAGTGCTCTGAACCCAAGGTCATGTTAACACTTTATTAATAGTCCAAACTATCTTGTATTTGCTTCACAAACTTATACACCTACTCTCCAAACTTTGAAGGAAAGTGAGTAGTACTTAAATCTGGCTCTGCTCCATGCTAATTCTGGCATCAAGAAGCCTCACAAATAGCTGTTCTTTGGAATCACCAGAGATAGGCCAAAAAAGGGAATTCATCAGGAGACCATTCAAAATCTCACTTTGGTTTTCATCATAACAGTAGATTTTTGAAGAGCATTGCTAACAGACCCTTCTAGCAAAAAGAAGAATAAAATGAGATGTTCTATTTAAAAAAAAAAAAAATCAGGCAGGCCCATAAGAGAGAAACTATCCTATGTCCTACTTAGTGACAATGAGACATACTAAAAAATTATTTAGTATTTATATGAAACTCAAGCTGGGGCATTTAGTTTCTTTTTGTTTGTTTTGTTTTGTTTTTTACTAAATCTGGTAACACTACACTTGTATATTCCTAATCACAAGCCTAAAATACAGTATTCCCAGTGGTTACGTCTAATTCAGATTTGTTCTGCATTTTTTGAATTACAGGGTGATAAATAATCCAACTGTGCTAAGGGATTGTTTATGGAATTGTGTTTTCTTTTTGTGAAATTAATAAAGGATGATTTGAAGTTTATAAATTGAAAAACTATTAAAGCAGTATACATGTCTCACCAGTGAACTTTCATCATTGCTAAAAGTAAGTTGACATGAGCTTAGATGAATACCCACTATGACACGTACCTCCCTCTACTCAGAACCAGAGCAGTCACTGCTGTACCTGATCAAGACACTGAGCAGCACTGGGAATTTTTTTTCTGGCAGAGCATTCCATGTGGTTATGAGATGAGCATATCACCTTTTTGTGTTTTGGGGCATCCAAAATTGAAGATTTCAGAATGAGACATCAATCTATGTCACATATTACATAAAAATGTCAAAGCAATTTTATTTCTTTAAAAAAGCAGCACGGAATAGACTGGAAGATAATACATTTTGGACATTGTGGGAACTTGTAGAGTCCTGGACTCAAAATGATTGGTTGGCAATCTTTTTTATAATTTTCCTAGGGATTATTTTTGAGATCATACTCATAAAGATTTGTACATCCTTTAATAAGAAGCCTGCACTTCCAGAAAAGGGTAGTTCAAGTGCTCAGGAGGTAACATGGTTGATTCTTTCTCTCCTATCTTTCAAAATCATATATAAGAATTACTTCTAAAATTGCAGAACTTTGATATTTGGACTATTCTAACATTTATTTATTGTCTTCTTGGAATAGAAGGAAAACAATTGCCTGAAAAGTGTGAAATTTGGTAAATATTATATAATTTCATGATTTAATATAAAAGTTGTTCAACCTGAGGCTCTCGTATTGGTGCTCTGACCTTTTTTTATTGTTATATTCCCACTTATCTCCAGATAACTGGCCAATTCCTTCATCTTCAGAAGAAAGGTAAGTGATCTATTTTAAAATTAAATGAAATAGATTGGTATTGTGCTATTCAAAATTGCATTTACATCTGAATTACAGAAAAGGGTTTTCCCAAATGTATAGAGCACCATAGCTACTTGACATCATAATTCAATCTAACATTGGTTATCTTTTTTAAATTTAAATTCAATTAGCCAACATATAGTACATCATTAGTTTCAGATATAGAGTTCAGTGAATCATCAGTTGTATCTAACATTGGTGTTAATCGTTATGCTCTGTTCCAAGCTGTGTTAATAGCTTTTCATGTACTGTTGAAATTGTCCTTCCAAGCAAGGAAGCTTACATTCTCATGGAGGAGACATATACATAAAGGATGAGTAACTGTGATAGAATCATTAGGAAAACATTTAGGAGATACCTAAGCCAGCATAGGGTGTTGGGGATGGCTTCATGAAGAAGGTTATGCTGGAGCTGAATTTTAAAGGATGAGTGAAAATTAGAAAAAGACAGCAGGTTAGGAAGATAAGGAGGTCATTCCAGGACATGAATAGTGTAGCAGGGTATGTGCAATAAATTATGACTACTGTTAGGAAAGAGATATGACTCTCATGGTGGGCAGCATATTGTAGTGAAAAAACACAGATTTTGAATTTTAAAAAATCTAGGTTTATGTCATAGTTTTGCCTCTTAATGACGGGATAGCCTTGGGCTTAAACTCACGGAAACTCCATTTCCTTGCTTTCAAAACAAGCAGAAGAATTACCTCTTAGGAAATCATGGAGATTAGTTAAAATGATATGTGTAACAAAGCAAAAATACTTTATACTGTGGCACCAGGATTATTTTTGAGGGCAGAACCATATTTGGGAGAGCATCTTAAATGATTTTGAAATGAAACTACTTGAATATTGGTGGAAGCTCAAGCATCACACTCGTTAAAGTGCATCGCATCAGAGACCAGATGAATTCGGCCTTGCTTATGAGGCGGGAGAGAAGAGAAAGGTGGAGGACTGAGCAGAGAGGAGGGAGGAGCAGGGAAGAAGATCTGAGGCTCAGGACTGAATGGTGTAAAGAACATCATGAGAACACTGCGGTATCTGGAATCGGGGAGACTCTTGCTGGCCAGGCCTAGTTCAGTGAGCAAAGCAAACTCTCATCTGACGTTGATCCAGTTTTGGGGAATGGTTTGTTTCAGGGTTGACATCAGCCTTAGAAGTGTGTTCCTGGAGAGCCTGCCACCATTATATGACTCTCAAAGCTTGGAGCTGTCACTGACCAGTTGGTTTCAGAAGCGTATTTCCTGAAGGGTATTATCATTGATAAAAATAGTTTAAAAACAAAATTGGTATTTATTTGTTACTGACCTTAGGATTGTACTATGACTGTATTGCATTGAGCAGCTTAATGGATTAACAACTACTTCTGGTATTTACTTTTTAGCATGGCTGTAGAACTCTGTCTTCCAAGGAGTGTAGAAATTTCTTTTAAATTTTCCAAGGCCAGTTGAGATTGCTGGGGAGAGGCCAAAGGACATTGCAGAAATGGGAGACACGACTAATGTTTCAGTGGGTGTTATTTGTGTTGCTGTAACCAACTCCCCTCCATTTCTGCCTTCAGTTCTGAGCCACTTTTACGAGTGGTTTGTGTACGTGCATTTCCCCCCTTCTGAACTAAAAGAAAGGGTTGGGTTGTATGTCTGGGTCAGCTTGTTATGGATAAGGGTTAGTAATCAGAATAGGGTAAGATAAGGTAGAAGAGTATTCCAGACAGGGGAACCAGCTAGAGCAAAGGCCCTAAGGGGGAGCTTGCATAGTGTTTTAGGAACAGTAAGAAGGCCAGTGTGGCTTGTGTAGGGAGTGGGGGTGACATACAAAGGATGGGGTTCGAGAAGGAATCGGCGACCAGATCATGGTTGGGCCTCTTAGGCCATGTTAAAGACAATAGCTTTTACTCTTAAGTAACAACAGGGAATCATTGTAGAGTTTTGCACAGGGAAGTGATATGTTCTGTCTTGATATTTTAAAGGATTATTCTGCCTGCTGTGTTGAGAGTAGACTGTATTTGGTCAAGGGTCTAAGGAGATGGCAGGCTATTGCAAGTAACCCAAAGTGAGAGATAAAGGTGAGTGACACCAGGGTGGTACCAGTGGAAGTGGTGAGACATTGTTGGTTTCAGGATGTACTTAGGAAAGCCAACAGAGGAGGCAAAGGTGACTCCCAAGAGTTTTGGCCTGAGCAAGTAGAAAGTGGAGTTGTCATCAATCCGGATAAAGAAAACTATGGGTAGAGCAGGTTTTGATGGGGGAGATCAGGAATTTTGTTTCGTATTTGTTGAATTAGGGATATTGATTTGATATCTAATAGAGGTAGTGAATAAGTGGTTTGGAAAAGATGTCTGGTAGAAGTCCTATGTTTGGGCATTGTTAGCTTATGGACAATATTAAAAACTACAAGAAATGATGAGATTTCAAAGGAACTGTAAGAAGAGAAAAGGAACAAGGCCTAAGCCCTGAGACACTTCAAAGAGGTAGAATAAAGAGGAGGAGCCATTAAAGGAGACTGAGAAGGAGCTACCATGGAGTGAGGAAGAAAACCAGGAGAATTATGATGGCCTAGAAGCTTGCCAGATAGAGTGTACGTAGAGCTGGTATTTCAGATATCAGACCCATAACCCTTATAAATATAGAAGCAAAATCCTTACATATATATTTTTTTCATATATTTTTAAAAGACTTTATTTATTTGAGAGAGAGACAGAGAGACAGAGAGAGAGAGCATGGGCGGGGGACAGGGTGAGGGAGAAGCAGGCTCCCCACTGAGCAGTGATCCTGATTCTGAGCTTGATCCCATGACTCTGGGAGCATGACCCCAACCAAAGGCAGACACTTAACCAACTGAGCCACCCAGAGCCCCTAGGAGCAAAATCCTTAACAAAATACTAGGACAACAAATCCAGCAGCATATTAGAAAGATTTTACACTATGACCCAGTGGGATTGTTCCTGGGAGTACATGGTTGGTTCAACATATGAAAATTATTGAGCATTGTTTTATTGTGTTTAAAAATACACTATTACATTGCTGAAATACCTGTGTTGCATTTCAGCTTTCCTCTTTTTCCTGAAATGTGCAAGAATTAATTTTTTTTATGTATTACATTTTCACTATTCTACTTTTTCTTTTTTTAAAAGATATTATTTATTCATGAGAGACACAGAGAGAGAGACATAGACAGAGGGAGAAGTAGGCTCTCAAAGGGAGCCCAATGTGGGACTCGATCCCCAGACCAGGATCATGCCCTGAGCTGAAGGCAGATGCTCAACCGCTGAGCCACCCAGGTGTCCCAATATTCTACTTTCTTAAGTGAATAATCGTGTTCTTATCCTGAAAAAATTTTATCCTAATTATGTTTGGACACTGTTATAACTCATTGGGGTCACTTGATTCCCCAGAATGCTTGTATATCCCTACCTGTATCAGTTAGGATATTTTAATTCTCACGTGACAGAAAACCATGATTCAAACTGCCATACTAAGAGAGGTGGGTAGAAAGGTGGCCACCAGAGTTTCAAAATCAGAATAGCAATATCCAGTAAGGAAGTAAGATGTCAATTTTTCCTGTGTCCTTCTTAGGAACAAGGCAACTTTTTCCACAGGTCCTTAAAAATCTTTGTCTTATGCTAGAATTAGTTCATGCCCACTCCTAAACTAGTCACTTGGAAATGAGATTACTGTTAGACTTAGCCTAATCATTGGGTGTAGAGTAATGGTGCAGAGTCCATGTGCATGATCATTATTCCAATCCAAAATTCTGCTGTGAAGCACTGCCCTAGAATATAGGCTTTTCTATTGATCAGAAATAAATAGCTGTTAAAATAATCTGGGTTTCCTTGTAGAAAACTATCGCTTATGGTATTGGACATTCTTCTGTTCTATCTACTAAATATCCTTAAGAATATTTTTATCTTTGCCAAAACTTTCATACAGAGAACAGAAGCAAACATATTCTTTGTAAAAGCATATAATCTTAACCTGCGACTTTTTGTTTGTTTGCTTTTTTAAAAGTCACATTTATTCAGCATCATGATCAGACTATTACATTTAGCAATCAACAACATGGGTACAAAAAAAAATCTACATTAAAACCTTCTGTTGGGCAGCCCGGGTGGCTCAGCGGTTTAGTGCCACCTTCGCCCAGGGCCCGATCTTGGAGACTGGGATCGAGTCCCACGTCGGGCTCCCTGTGTGGATCCTGCTTCTCCCTCTGCCTGTGTCTCTGCCCCTCTCTCTCTCTCTCTCTCTCTCTCTCTGTGTGTGTGTGTGTGTGTGTCTCTCATGAATAAATAAATAAAATATTTTAAAAAACAATAACAACAACAAAAAAACCCTTTTGTTGGAATGCTTTATACTTTCCACAGAACAGAAACTAAAATAACTTGTTATACAATTAATCACAAATACAGTGCTTGAGTTTTTTACCCATACACATGAGTATTGTCTAAAACATGTCTTCTTTGTGGCAGCAAGGCCCTGCCTCACTGTGCTTGGCTGAATTCACAAATCTGTTGTCACCTGTAGCTTCCCTGTCACTTCTCCTCTTCTGCTAAGCTTTGTTTCCTGGCAGTAATTTAAAAAACCTTTTGCCATTGCCATAGCTGCTGCTGCTGCTGCTGCTGCTGCTGGAACTGCCATAGCCACCTTCGTTTCATGGTTTGGCAAAGTACTGGCCTCTACCACCATAGGGGCAGAGCTCCTGCCTCCAAAATGTCCTCCTTTCATGGGTCCAAAATTTGAGAACCGATTGTTGTAATTGCCAAAATCATGATAGCTTCTGCCACCTGCACAGTTGCTTCAGTCTTTACCAAATCCATTCTAGCCATTTCCACTGCCACCATATCCACCACCACCGCGACTGCCACCAAGCCACCTCGCCCACTGAAGTTCCTTCCATGACCAAAGTTGTCATTCCCATGAAAACCACCTCCACGACCACCAACAAGTTTCCAGAACCACTTTGACCTGTTTAGCTGGATGAAGCACTAGCCATCTCTTGCTTTGATAGGACTTTCCTTACTTCACAGTTATGGCCGTCTGCATTGTGGTATTTTTGAAGGACAGTCTTGTTTACAGAGTCATGATCATCAGATGTTACAAAAGCAAAATGTCTCTTTTTGCCACCGCCTCAGTCAGTCATGATCTAAATCAGTTCAACTTTCCCACACTGTTCAAAAGAATCTCTTAGATGATATTCCTCAGTGTCTTCTGTAATGCCACCAACAAAACTCTTTTTCACAGTTAAGTGGGCACCAGGTCTTTGAGAATCTTCTCTTGAGGCAGTCTTCTTTGATTCCACAACTCTTCCATCTACCATGTATGGCCTTGCATTCATGGCTGTATCCACCTCCTCCACAGTAGCATACATGACAAACCCAAAGCCTCTGGAGCCTCATTATCACACAGTCTATAAGTCTTCCCCATTGTTCAAAATGGCTCCTCAGACTTTCATCGGTTGTTTCAAAGCTCAAACCTCCAATGAAGACCTTCCACAGCTATTCACACTCTTTGGGAGACTCTGACTTAAACATGATGGTGGGGGGGGGGGGAGACTAATGATGCTTACTTGGCAGCATCCAAGGGCAGAAAGATTAACCTGCAACTTTCACTCATTGCTGTCAAAAAGTCTTTGAATAGGTTTTTGATGTAAAAAATCTCTGAAAAATGAAAACAATGAAATGAAATGAAACAATGAAATGAAAACAATTTACTTCACCTTGTCAGTGGATTGATTTATGAAATAAATGAAACTATGTTATGAGTTATTTTGTAATGTAGATAATGATTTTTCAATTTATCTTTATGTTGAGCTATGTTTTCATATACTATGTTGGGTTTCCTTAAATCTAGAAGAGAGTTCTTGTATGAAATATGTCTTAAATGACAACTCATTTATATGTTTCCTTATATTCAGAGTTGATGACTTTTCAGAAAGAACAATTGCTTCATCACTTACTTCTGAAGAAAATGAAAGTAACTTTGAAGATAGAGTTCTACTGGCAGATGAAGTAATATGGTTGAGTACCAGGGAAAGTAAATATCAAGTAAGTCACTTTAGCGAAAGTCATATAACGTCTTCAAATGGGACTAGCTCATCTTTGTCACTGTTTCATTCAGAAGTAAAGGAATTTTTTCCAAGCCATGGAGAGTATCCAGAAAATGAACAAGAAACAATACAATTTCCATCAAAGAAATTATTTTCAATATTGAAAACCAACAAAAATAAAAATTTGATATTTTCTTCCGACTTTAACTTTTCAAGAAGTTCTAGAAGATCTATAGAAAGTGAAGATCTCAATGTGGCACCATGCCCTCCTGCCCACTTATTTCTTTCCAGAGACCAAGTCAGAATTCTGGAAGAAAATGTGAGAAATCAAGTTGCTTTAAAATCCAAAACTACATCAGAGAGTAAAACTACTTATCTGTACTCAAGATTTCAAGAGTCCCCGATTCAGAATCAACATTCTGTTACAATTGATATTTCTGCCCAAGCACAAGATTCTCTTCCAGGACAAAATGCTATTCAGAATCAAGGTTTTTATGAAGCCAGATTTACTAGTCAAGTCCAACAATTTGTTAACAACCAAGAATCACTCAATAGTCAGCCTGATATCATGGTCTTTGCTCTGCCTCGAGATCTGACAAGGAAGCCATTTTGTAGCAGCACACAAGAATCCTTCCAGACCCAAGAAAAGGACAGAAGCCAACATTTGGTGAATGTGTCATATTCTGTTGAGACTCAAGATTCAGTCAAGGGCCTAGAGTCTGATAAAAACCAGTTTGATGAGGCCCAATATTCTTTTTGCTTTGAAGATTCAAACAAGAGTAAACATTTAATTGAGGGGCAAAATGCTATTTTTAAGAATGCCAGATGTCTAGTTTTAACTGTAAGTCCAAATGCACTTGCAGAACGGATGCTACAAATAGAGAGTGTAAAACCAGAGGGCCAGAAACAAATCACTTCATCAGAATTAAATCAGTATTTTACATATGGCTCGGGGCCTCTTTCACATACTCTTTTTAAAAGGCAGAAAAACAGGAGAAAAACATTACATAGTAAAAGTAAATTTAGTCTCATAGTTCTATCTCAAAAGTCAAAGAAAACACAAATTCCACTGGTATTTCAAATCACAGTATGTCACACTTCAAAACCCAGCAAGTTAGGATGCAAGTATAATGCTAAGAAAGAATTACATCAAAGGAAAAGTATACCAGATACAGCTTTGCATCTTACTTATGTTTCCAAGCCTGTCCCTCCTTATATTAAGAAGTATTCTAGAAAAGAACTAGTGAAAGTCATGCCAGGTGTAACAGGATGTAGACATTCTCTGTCACTTGATGCAGAGAATGTCAATGATGCTGAGTCTACAGAGAAAAGAAGAACCTCAGGCAGGACTGGAGATATAAAGCAGCATGGCAGAGAAAATGAAGGACAAAAAACTATTTCACCGAAAACCTCGCCTCAGCTAGAACAGTCTTTTAACAATACTTTTCAGCTAAAATCACCTTGTTTTTCACTAATAGAAATGAACTGGAAGAATAAAGAGTCTCGTAAAGGCCCAATTACACAAGCAAAGGGAATTGGTATTGCAGAGTTTCATGCCCCGAATAGTAAAAAAACATCTGACCTGCATATTCCAAAGCAGGAGGCACGTTTAGGAGACATTATATCAGAACCTTGGCAAAAATTTGTCTCCTCTCCTAAAGTGGAATCGAACAGGAGGATGAAAACACAGGAAGACCTCAGAAGTACAGAGAAATCCCATCTTCCACTTTTAGGTGGAAAGAAATTACCAACTAGTTCACCAGAAATGCGAAGGTACTTTCCAGATGGAAATACACAAAAGCAAGAAGACTTTCTAGAAATTGTTCTGGAGACTTCAGAGGTTAATCTGTTCATTTCACTAGGAATCAAAGAGCATAAAGACAGTGAACAATTGGCAAGTATAAAAACTCAAAAGAGTACAGAAGATGTAATTATGAAGGAAAAGAAACCACCAGTAACACTTCATGCTACAGAAGGTGATAACCCAAGTGATAGCGAGGGACTGGAATGCAACAGTAGAAGCAATGTAAAAAATATGCAAGGGGAAAGAATATTTGTTACATTTCTTGATGCCACTAACACCACCGTTTCTGAACCACTTGATATGAAAATGCATAGCAGATTAAAAGCCAAGACAGATAAAACAACAACAGGGTCTAGCCATTCAGTGGTAAAGCTGAAGAAATTACCAGATGAAAAGAAAATATGGGATGCAAAATACATCGAGAAGAGATGTATATTTAAAAAGCCACAAGAACATGTCAGAGAGGAAGAGGAACAAATTTTAGAAGAAGGAGTTCCACAGCTGCCACAAGATTTCAGGCTTAGCTTGCAACTAAAGCAGAAGCCCAAATATCTCAGATTTGAAATAAAACAGAGCAGTCCAGGAAGTGGGGAAACTCAAAATAAAGAGCAAGAAGTACAACCACAAACTCTTCCTACAGAAACAGTTTTGGTGACTAGTCCATGCCCCACAATGGATCCATTTCAAATTGAGGTAAAGCAAAGCGCAGAGAGACTTACAGGCAGAGAAACTACGGATCCAGAGAATCCTCTTACAGTTCTAGAGAATTCACGAGTTGGTGAAGTTTTAATTGAAACAAGAGAATGTGGTATCCCATTTGGTGGAAGCCCCAGAAAGACAATGGATGATCATATTGCAGAAGAAAAGACAGACCTCAAAAGAGTTTTATCTGCAATTGCCTTGGGGTCTTTCATTATCCATATGCTTCCTTTATCATATTTTAAAAGGCAGAAAATAAGAAAAAAATTATCAGGAGCCAAAAGGCTACTCAGCCCCAAGTCTGTAATTAGGAAAGTAAAGAAGTCGACAAACTTACTGATGCTTAGTATCAATAGGCATGGTACTGCAAGTCTTAGGAAAAGATTGAGAGCCAATTTTAAAATCCTGATTAAACAGATGCTGCAAGATAAAATTGTGGCAGATGTGCTTGTGAATGTTGTTTACACTCACATGTTTATTTTGTCTCATAGTAGAACACACAGCAGATTAAATGCAGAGAACTGCAGTCAGACCGAGCTAAAACAAGAGAAATCCAAAGATGAAAAGGAAAAAAAGTATTCTATTAATAAAAGCAGTTACTCTCGATACACACTAGAAGAAGTTAAATTGCAAGATGAAGTGAGAGGAGATGAAGCTCCACCAGAAGCAGTCCTTCATGACAGCTGGAACCTTAGAATGGATGCAAATCCAGAGAAGGAGCTCAAAATGGAAGAAGTACCTCAAACAATTACATACAGAGAAAGCCTTATGGAGTCTGTTTCATATACACTTGATGGCACACAGAACAAGAGACTGCAATGCAGTTTTAAAACAAAGATGAAAAATCCACAGCAAAATAAAAACAGAGCAGATGCATTTCTCAATGTCATTCAGTCCAAGGTGTGTCTTTTGCCCAATGCCAAAGTGAGTAGTGAATTAAATGTAGAGACAGATATGCAGAGGATAACAAGACATGATCATATGCAGCCAGTACAAGGTAAATTGCTAAATGGAAGAAAAGTACGTCGTCTACTTGTGAGTACTTTATCTAATAGTGTAAGAGATGAGAAAGAGGAGGAAGGGAAACATGAAACTTTACCAGCTCCAGAGAATAGCCAACGCTTCACATTCAATGCATATCAGAATTGTGGCTTCATCAAGTCTGATGAAGAACTGAAAGAAACACAAAGTATAAATATTCAGGTACAACCACAAACACATGATAAACAAACTGTCTTAGGTTCTACTTCATGCCCTGTATTGGATCAGTTTCAATTTGGAAATCTAGAGAATTATGCTAGGTTTTCACCTCCAAAGTCAGGGGAAGGAAAGATTGATGAAATAATTTTTTCTACAAGAGAATACAGTGTCCCATCTGATTCAAATCATCAAAAGGAAGAGGCTGGTGGTACTGAAAAGAAAGACACAGTGACTTTTAATTTCTGCATACCTGCTTTATCTACACTCAAAAGGAAGAGAAATTTTAAAAAATATTCAGACACGAAAACTTTAGTGAATCTCAAATGTGGAATTTTAAAAGCAAAGAAACCACCAGTTTCATACATATTCAGTATCAAGGGTGGTGTTAGCCCAAACCATAGAAAAGAATTGGGGTGTAACTCTACAACCAAAATGGTAGAGGTGGATCAGAGTGAAAATATGGAGGCTAAAGCGTATTCTTCCATGACTATTACTACACCTAACCTTAATATGTATAGCAAGATAGAAAGAGAAAAAGGTATGTTAGGAGAAACAAGTCTCAGTTCTAAACAAGTAAAGCAAGCAATATCACCAAATGAAGGAAAGATTATCTCAGATGACACCAAAAAGAACAGCCTTCAAGATGAAGAGAAAGTAAAAAAAAAACAGGAGACATTAAAAGTAATTCCACAGCACAGCCAACACTTCAAATTTCATTCAGTCCAAAGGAAGGAGCTTGACCTTCATCAATCAGAAGGCCAAGGAAGTGTTATTGAAAAAGACATCTCACACCGAATGCAGCCTACAGATTCAATGCAGGGAGAGAAGCCAAAGAAAAGCCACCAGACACAAAATGGTGCAATATATACAGCAAGTTCAAAGCTTCCTCTTCTAAAATCAAAGAAATCACTAATTGGTGAAATTTTAATGGATACAATGAAGGTTGGTGTCCTAACTGTTGGGAGCCACATGGGGAAACTATACAGTCATGGTAAAGAGGAAAATGCAGGGTTAAAAAATCTACAAGCAACTGTTTTGGAGTCTTTGGATGTCTCCACACCTGATCTATCTGAATCTAAAAGGCAGAGAAAGACATTTACATGTAGAGCCTTAAAAAATAAAATGAATCCTAAACGTGTAGTCATGAAAGCAAAGAAGGCACCAATTTCACTGATATTTAATATCTCAGGGAATGGTTGTCTAAAAAACCTATGTCCAAAGATCCTGAAATCACAGGTTATTGACTTGTTAATTCATATAAAATGCTCTGGGGTCCTGGAAGATCTTATTGCAGAGAGAAAGGAAGGATTAGCACAAGAATTACCAGCAACAGTTCCGGAGTCTTTGGATTTATCCACATTTGCTTTACCTGCATTGAAAAGAAAAAGAAACAATTTAAAATATATAGACAGAAATAAAATGAGTCTTGAGTGGGTAACTTCAAAGGCAAAGAAGGCACCAATTTCCCAGACACTAACTATTTCAAAACGTGGAACACCAAGCCATAAAAAGCAATTCAAATATAACCTCAAAATCATGATGAAACAAGGGAAACCCACAGCAGACATGACCCTAAATGCCATCTCCTCTCCTGTTCCTGTTTTACTTGACGTGAAAATGTATAACAGAATAAAAGCAGAATCAGATGTGTCATGGAAGATGAGATTCAGTCATGAACTGCAACAGCGAGAACAATCACCAGATGGGGAGAAAGCCTGCTCTGCTGATTCCAGTGATAACAGGGGTCTTCCCTCCAGTAGCACAAAGGAAGTCAAAGACCAATGTGAAGAAGCAGCCCTGAGAAATTCTCAGCACTCCAGTTTCATTGCTGGTAAAATGAAGGAGCCCCACTTTGTGAAGTCAGAACTAGAAGTGAAGAATTTAGCAAGGGAAAATGTCACAGAACCACTTAACACAGCCCAGGAGCTGCAGCAACAAACACTTTTTACAAAAAGTGTATTACATTGTGTTTCTTGCTCTATTTTGAATTCACTTCCACTTGAGAAGCTACCAAAAAGAACAAAAACACAAAAAGGCTTAAAATATGCAAAGAGTCCAAAGATTTTATATCCAGTCCTAGAGAAATCAATCCGTGAGTCTCTAATTGTTACAACACGGAGTGACATCCTGTCTGAAAGAGGCCCTAGGAAGGAACTTGCTAGTTCTATTCCAGAGGTAAAGTTGCAAAAGGATTTACAAGCAAGAACCCTAAAGTGCTTTGATTTCTCCACACCAGCTTCATCTGAGTTTGAAGGTCAGAGAAATGCAGCACAAATCCCCAAGTCTAGAAATGGGAAAGCTCAGGTGGCATCAGTTTTAAAGACGATCAATATCCTAGGTCTGGTGCTCTTAGCCATGGGAAGGAACAGGACTTCATCTTGAAAAACACGACCAAAGAAATATCTCAAGATATGCCAGATATATTTGTGAATATTTTCCCTTTACCAACACCTGGTTCACCTGCCATCAAAATGTATAAAAAAGTAAAAACAAAGAAAGAGCCATTAAGAAATAAAAGCAATATTTTACAGCCACAACAACACGAAGGGGAAAGAATGGGTCCATATTCTCCTAAGAAATGGAGCAACTCGGGCAGTACGTCAGAATCAAGATGGCAAAATGAAAAAGAAAGAGAGGGCAATGGAGTTTTATTTGAAGCAGGTCTACAATTCCTGAATAATACAAGAAGGAGAAAAGATCAAAATATACTTATTACAGAGCAGAAAGTGCAGCAACAAATACTGGTTTCAAAAAATAAATTGGAATCTACTTGTTCTCCTCTGACTCCATTTCAAATTGAAGAGCTGAGCAAGAATATCCCATCACAAAAAGCCATACCACATAGAATAGGTCAAAAGATTCCATGTCCAAAATCAGGGAACCCAGCATTTGACTACTTTTCAATTGATGAAGCAGAGTGTAGCACTGTATCTGATGGGAGCCCTGCAAGGAAGCTGGATGTTAACACTGCAGTTTCCCTACTACCTGAAGAAGAAGAGGAAGACATAAAAACTCAGAAAATAATGAAACACAGATTGATTCAAAATATCTCATCTACCAAATCTGGGAACTCAGTACTTGGAGATCCAGGAAATAAAAGCTCTAGAAGGAAAATGGGTGGTCACATTGCCAAGAAATATAGGTTGTTGCAAAGAGATTTACTAACAATGTCCACAATGTCTGTTTTATTTGACTCTGAAAGTCAGGAGAAGATACTAAAATTTTCAGGAAGGAAAAATCGTTTGGGTCCCAAACGCATAACCATGAAAGCAAAGAAGTATCTTTGTTCACAGATGCTTAATATCACTGAGCATGATAATGTCTGCTATAGAAAGGAACAGGATTACAACTTAAAATCTACAATAAATGACATGCAACAAAATAAAAGTATAGCAAATGCATTTTTGTTTCCCACACTTGTTTCAACTGATAATGATACAGATATTGAAATGCACAGCACATCAAAAGCAGAAATGGATCAACCAAGAGTAAAACTGTACAGCCATACCTCTGTAGAGCTAGGAAAATCACCAGGTGATGGGGAAGTGTGGAAGGCTGACTCAATTGATACACAAAACAGATCAAGCAACACAATAAAAAGGAATGTGCAACATAAAAAGGAAGAGGAAAATATCCAAAAAATGTTATTGGAATCAGTTCCAGACTATAACCAACACTTTAGTTTCAGTGCCTATCATATGAAAAATCCTGGTTCTTACCAATCTGAGTCTGAACTCAATAATTCAGAAGTCAGAAACTCTTGGAATTTGTCTTATACAGCACGAAAGATGAGGCAAGAAAAATGCTTTAGAGAAACTATTTTGGAGCCTGTTTCTAGACATGTAATGAATTTTCTTCAGGTTGAAACAGTGGAAAGTCATCATGCTCAAAAAGAAATTAAATGCATGGAAGGTGTAAAGACTCCATTTCCAAAAGTGAGGAAATCAAAGACTGGTTCAATACAATGTGGTGCTCGCTGGGATAGAAACCCTAGGAGAAAATGGGATAGTTCTATTTTTGAAAGAAAGGCATGGAATCAAAATGACTTGGTAAGAATGGTCTTAAAACCTTCCAATTTTTCCAGCTTTGATTCATCTGAACCTAAAAACCAGCGCTATACTTTAGAGTTTGAAGGCAATAAAACTATAATAAATCCCAAGTATGTAACTCTGAAGGCAAAGAAACAGCCAGTTTTACAGTTGCTTAATATCACAAGGTGTTTTACAGGAAGCCATAGAAAGACAATGGGGTGCAAATTCCAATACAAGATGAAAAAGAGGCAGTGGTTTGAAAGTGTGAGCGAGGCATCACTCCTTGCTGAAGGGACTGAGATTCCACCACCCAAGTTAGTGACTGATAAACACTCCTTCAGTGCAACAGCAAGGGACACTCTGTATAACAGAACACTTCACAGAAATTTGCATGGTCATATCACAAAGGAAAAGGCAGAGTTAAGGGAAAATTCAGCCACAACTTTCCAGGGGCCTTTAGATTTCTTTATGCCGATCTTATCAGACTCTGAAAGCCAGATAAACACAGTACAATTATTGGAAGACAAAATCACATTGAATCTCAAGTGTTTAACTATGAAGGAAAGAGATCCAGTAAATTCACAAATGCTTAAAATCAGAGGGCGGTTTACCACAAAACGCAGAAAAAAACTTGGATCCAATTTAAAAGCCAAAATGCAACAGATGAGTCAAGGTAAAAATGTGGCTGATACATTTCCAAATACCGGTTACTTCACACCAGATACCTCTGACATTAAAAGGCAAAGCAGACTCAAAATAGGGATGGACAGAGTATCAAGGTTTAGTGGTGTACAACCAACACAAATGGAGTTGCCAGTTGAAGGGCTAGTGATTTCACAACCACTTAATACCACTAGTTATGCTGCTTTAAGCATTAATGAGCAACAGGAAAAAAAGATAGAAAGAAAGAGAGAGAAAACTGTATTAAATGTGGACCTAAAATTTATGTATGATTCTATGCCTATTTTGTCACACACAAAAATGGAGGAATCCCCTGGTACCTGGGGTATCTATGAAGAGTCTTCTGAAAAGAAAAATACCCTAAGCAAAGCAAATGCTAGTTCTGCTTATGCCTGCACACATATGCATCCCAAAATCATAAGACATAAAGCTAAGGTAAAAACAGCAGATGTGGAAAACACTTTGCATACCAGTCGGGTGACATTGAAGGCAAAGAGGCCACCTGTCTCCAAGCTGTTTGATACTGTCACTACCAGATATGGAACCAGAAGGAACAAAATGGAACTGAGATGTTACATTAAGACACAGAAGGAGTTCCAGCAATATAAAACTGTAACAGATTTATTTCTGAACACTATTTATGGCTCTGGATCTGTTTCATCTCAAATCAAACAATTTACAGAAGTAAAAAGGGAGAAAGACAGGCCAGGAAAGCCCATGTACATTACTCCACAGCTAGAACTGGAGAAATCACTAAACAAAAGAAAAATATCATCTTCAGGGTCCACTGATATTAAGAGTGCTATATCAAGAAATATCAAAATACTGAAACAATGCATTAGAGGGGAGAAAGAAAACTGCCAAACTGTCTTACGAGACATTCTCCCGCAATGTAGAGATCAGTTAGTGATTACCCAACAAGTGAAGGAGGAGCTTGATCATGTGAAAATAGGAGTTGCTTTGAAAAGAGAAGTGTACCCTGATCTAGCTTCCCCGAAGAGGGAAATCAGTTACACTAGGTTCAACATCCCAAGAATTAGAACACATACAGACTGTGAATTCTTTGTTGCACAAAGAGTAAAGCACAAAGATGCAGACATTGTCAAACATTCAGTTTCAATTCCATGGGAGAGAGGAGTATCTGAGAAAACCAATGTCTCATTAATTTCAAAAGGACATAATATATATCTTACAGAGTTGGATGCCTTTCGACAGAGGACTCACAAGGAGCAAGAATTGTGGAAACAAGAAAGTATTTCAACGACACTTCGGGGATCTATTGTCTACCCCATTATGGAACCTTCTCATTTGAAAATGACAGGAAAGGTAGCTGAGGAAGATATGTACATTAACAAAAAAAATATTTCACATCTATTGAGAAGAGAAGATATAGAAGAAACCAGTATCTTACAAGGTTCAAAAGGACACAAGTTTCTTTGTACTAATCTGGTGGTGGTTCAGCAAAATATGTCTGCAGTGCAGAAAGGAGAGGCGAAGCCAGATGACATTCCTGAAAGTATTGTGGATTCTGTGTCTCACCCAAATAGGGAACATCTTCAGGTAACACAACCAGTACATACAAAGAAGGAAGATGTAAGCATTCCTATGAGGTTACCTGTAAATCCATGGAGAAAAGAGCAATCAAAGTTAACTGATATTCCATTAAGATTAAATAGACCAAAAATAATTTTTCCAGAAAAACTAAGGGTGAAGCAACCACATAGTTCTACCCAGGATAAAGGAGTTATTCTGGAATCCATTTCTTCTTGCATATTGCATCAATTCCATAATGAAAAGCTAAAGAAAAAAGTATCAATGGAAAGAATGAGCTCAAAAGTTTTGAGTTCAGTGGTAGACAAAGCATCAAATGAAGCAGATACTCTAGGAGATCCACCTTATATTAACTTGTATAATAGAAAAAGAAAAGAACATCAAAAAGAAAGTACATGCAAGGTTCTTCCAATGTCTGTTTCTCATTCCTCAATGGATGTACTTCAGATTAAGTTGCCATATGTAAAAAAAATATTAAAGCCTCCAGGATACCACACTTCAAATACAAAAGGAATTGGTTTGCTTGTTGAGGAAAAAGAGCATCCAGAACGTATACATCAGATTTCTCCAAAGTCTGCTCCTCACTCTTTGAGGGATGTATTTCAGAGTAAGATACCACGTGAAAAGAAGGCATCAGAAATTGTTAGCATTGTGGATTACATTCCAAGTACAGAAAAAATTGGCCCACCCATTACAGGAAAAGCAAGCAAGGTGCAGATAGGTAAAGGTAAATCAGGTATGAAACTGAAAAGTTTGTGTACTTCCTTACCATCTCTATCACACACTAATATGGATTCAAGAGCAAAAGTAGGACAAGATAAGTCAGGAATACTCAGGAGCTGCCTTCTACCACTAACACTCCAGGTATCACCAAATGTCAGGAAAATATCATTTGCAGAGTCAATTAATAGAGACAGTTTAAGCAACATACAAGAATCAGAATATTTGCCACAGGAAAGAAAAGATGGAGAAAATGTAGTACATGTGAAAGACATAATGGGCCTCCAGTGTGTCACTTTCAAAGGACAGAAAACAGCTTTTAAACACACACTGCATGGAAATGAACCACAATGGAACAACAAAGAATGGGAGGAAATGAGGCAGAAAGATAGTGATCTCGACATAGTCAAGAATAAACATTATGCTTCCATCCCTTCTCCACCTCACGTGGAATGGGACCCTGAGATAAAAGAGGTACTCATGCGAGGAATCACAGGATTTTGTCTTCCATCACTGACACTTCAAGAATTATCGAATGCAATGGGAATATGTAAGGAACCAATTGATGATATTTTAAGCAGTATAAAAAAGGCAAAGTATATGCCACAGAAAGATAGAGTGGAAATGGCTTTGGAAGAAATAAGGCATCCCAAAATAATAGTTCTGAAGGCAAAACAGACTCCAGTTGCACAGGAATTACAGTTGAACATCAAAGAAAAAGAGAAAAAGCTGCAAGAAAATAAAGATAAACAAGTTGGGATGTGGAGCGAATCTTCTGTTTCCATCTCCTTTCCACCTTACTCAGAAGTGGACACAAGAGTAAAAGGGGAAGAAGCCATGCTAATAAAAACAAGATCCTCTTTCCTACAAACAAAATTCCAGGAGTCATCAGATACAGGAAAAATAGCATATAGACAGTCTATTAATGGTGATGCCTCAACCAGTAAAAAAAAATCCAAGGAATATATAATACAGGAAGAAGAGGAAAGAGTAAAAATGGTACAAGTCATACCTTTGAGGAAAAAGAAATCACCAATTTTACAGGAAATCCAGCTGGACAGCAAAGAGCAAGAGAAAAAGATACAAAAAATGAAAGGTGAGTCAAATATCTTTGTGACCAATACCAGTACTTGCATACCTGCTCCTTTTTATGTACAAGTGGATACAAGAATAAAAAAAGCAGACTATGTGACTGAAGTTACAAGATACTCTCTTCCAGAACTATCACAGCAGAAGTCATCAGATGCAATGAAAAAAGCAAGTAAAGAGTCCACTGATGGTGATATCAGAAGTGATGTGCAAGAAGCAAAAGAATATGCACTGCAGAAAGAAGAGACTAATGTAGAGAAATCATTCAAGAGAGACATGATGCAGCCAAAAGATGAAGATTTGGAAAGAAGGCAAGCAGTTTTACAGGATATACCATTGAATCTTAAAGAGCAGGTGATAGCGGATCCAAAAGGTGAAGACCAAGGGAAAATGGATGGTGGAGGTAAGGGTAAACAAGAAGTAATTCTGTCCTCAAATTGGGCTTCTGAATCTTCTCTAACTTACCATGAATTGAACACAAGTATAGAAGGAGAAGAAGACATACAAGGAATAACAAAATCTGCTGTTTCACTACTACAGCTACAGAAATTATTTGATGCAAGGAAAATAGTGTATACAAAGTCAGCTGGGGATGATACCCCAAATGATGTAAGAGGAGTACAAGAGTATGAGCCACAGAGAGAAGAAGATAGAAGAAAAATAATAAATATGAAATACATAATGTACCCCAAAAGCACTACTTCTAAGGCAAAGGCATTACCACTTCCACATGTACTCTATACTTCTAGGAGTTGTGATCCCCAAATTAGAGATGTACAGATGAGCATAAAAGAAAAAGTAAGATACATACGAGAAAGAAGTGAGCTAGGTAAGATTCTGACAAGACCCTCTCTGTCTCAAGTTCAATTAAACAAAGATATAGAAGGCAAGGAAGAGAAACGAGTAACAGGACCCTTTCTTCCACCCTCATGGCACAGGGAATCATCAAATGCAGAGAAATTAAGATATACAGTACCACTTTTGGATGGTATTTCAAACTATTCAAAGAGAACAAAATGCATGACACAGAGAGAAGAGGATAAAGCAAATAATTTTGAGAAAGATATAATACATCCCAAGTACATAGGTTTGAAGGCAAAGAAATCACCCCTTCTCCTTATACTCAAAACAAAGAAATTGCAAGTGAACATGAAAGAACAAGAGAAAGTGGGACAAGAAGATAGCAAGGAAACCATTGTGCTTCTGAGCAAAATTCATCCTTGTGTCACTTCAACTCGTCTTAAGTGGAATGCTATAAAAGACAAGGAGGGTGAGCCAGGAATAATAAGAAATGATGCACTGTATATTGAGCCCCAAGAATCATTGCCTTCAATGAAAATTTCATCTACAGAGGTGCCCGATAGCTATGTGAAGAAAGGAGAACAACGTCCACAACAGGAAGAAAGGAACAGAGTACAAACCGAAGCCATGAATAGCTCAAGGCTGCCGAGGGATACAGATTTTAAGGCAAAGACATCATCACCTCCTCACACATGCAGTGTCACTGAGCACGGTGATTTGAACAAGAGAAAGGAACCCCAGTGGAGTATGAAGGAGGAAGAACAGGAGCAGCAGAGAACAGAAGACCCTGATGTGGCTCTGACAAAAACTCCTCCTTCCACACCTTCACCATCTTATCACAGATTGGACACAAGGACCAAAGTAGACAAAGACTTGCTTGCAGTTACAGGATTCTCTCCTTCACAATTGCTGTGCCCCAAGTCATCAGGTGCAGGAAAAATCAGATATGCAGACTCCAATAAAGGTATTAGCTCATGTAATGTAATAATAAAAGCTTATCAATGTATGCCATATACTAAGGTAAAGGACAGAAAAAAAATAAAATATGGAGAAGGTATAAGATTCCCCCAAATAATCACCTTGACAGCAGAGACATCCTCACTTCCACATCTACCCGGTAGAAAGAGACTACCTTTGAATATTAAAGAGCAAGGGAAAGGAGTGCCAAAAGGCAAAAGTGAACTAGAAAGTGTTCTGAAGGAAACCTATGCCTGCTTACCTTCTTCATCTTACCTGAAATGGGACACAAGAATGTATGAAAAGGAAGACACACTAGGGATGACACAATCCTATTTTCCACCACCAAAGATTCAGGATCCATCCAATTCAGGCAAAAAACCATATACGAAGTCATTTGATGGATATGTGTTAAAAGAGAAGGGTAGACTCAAAACTGATACTGAAAACAAAATGGCCCGAATACATATGGCTCTGAAGGCAAAGGAATTACCACTTTCACTTATGCTGAATACAAAAAAATTGCAGTGGAAAATTAGAGAGCAAGAGAGAAAGGTGCAGAAAGATAAAAATGACACAGCTACAAATCTGGAAAACATTTGTACTTCTTTATTTACTTTACCACATCTTAAATTTGGCTCAACAGAAGGAGAAAGGTACATGATAAGAATTACAAAACTGTCTCTCCCACAACTACAGTCTAAGGAATCACCAGATGCAGTGAAAACAACATATGCAGAAACAACTGATACAGAACTTTCAAATGGTGTAAAAGAATTAAAAGAACACACATTACAGGAAGAACCGAAGGATAGAGAGAAAAACATGGATGTAAATAGTCTAGTAGATCCCACTGATAGGTATTTAAAAGCAAAGAAATCACCTAATTTACTTAGATACAATCTAAATGACCTTCAGTGGAAAGCTAAAGAGCAAGAGGGAACAGCTTGGGAAGTTCAGCATAAGCCATGTGGTGCAATGCTGACTAAGACTTGTATTTGCAGATCTCCCCTACTTCACTTCAGCATGAATACCAGAGACAAGGAAAAGAGAATGCCCATATTAGCGAGATCCTCTTTTTCCTCAGTCAGCTTCCAGGAATCATCAGATTCTGAGGACATGGAATATATAGAGCCAATTGCCAGTGATATTTTAATCAGCCCACAAAAAGGAAAATATCATACTCCCCAGAACAAGGAAGAGAATGGAGTAGAAATAGTAAACCTCATGCTCCCCAAACATCAAGAAAAGAAGATGCAGGAAAGTGAAGATGAATCAGATGTGGTTGTGGCTTCCTCTCCATTACCATCTCTCCCTTGCCTGCAGTTGGATAAAGAAATACAGGTAGATGATGAAATTCTAGGACCTACAAGGTCTATTGTGCAGAGAGTATCCAGTGTTGGGGAAATAGTGCATACAGAAGCAATCAATGATCATGTCATGAAAGACAGTCAAAACAGGAAACAACATGTGCCTCAGGAAGAGGAGCAGGACAGAGAAAAAACAGTAGATAGAAGTATGATGCACACCACAGATATAACTTTGCAGTCCAGGAAATCACCTCCTTCCCTTATGCTCTACAGAACAGAATTGCATCTGAACATTGTAGGGCAAGAACAAAAGAAACATGAATGTCCAGGTAAACCACTCGGTACTGTGCTAAGAAAACTTTATGCTTCCAAACCTCCAGCTAAGCTTACATTGGAAAAAGGTACACAAATAAATGAAGAAAGGCTTAGAATTAAAAGACCCTCTCGACTTCCACAAATATTTTCAGCAGTATCAGATACAGAGAAGAGAGCAGATACAGAAGCAATTTGTGACCTAAGAGAAAAAAAACAACATATGTCACAGAAAGAAAAAAAGCATGAGGTGAAAACAGTAGATATGAGGATCAGGATGGATCACAAAGAGGCCAGGATTTCATCAATTTCACATATCTTTGACACAAAGGAATTTGTGTTGAATATTAAAGAACTAAAGGAAAACATGTACAAAGGTAAAGATGAGCTACCTGTAGTTCTGACAAGGACTTTTCTTTCTGCCCCATCAGCTCCTCCCCTTTATCTAGACTCAAGGAGCAAAAGAGACAAAGATGTCTCAGGAGTTACAGGATCCTCTCCTCCACAGCAAAATTTCCAGGAATCATCAGATACCCCAAAAATGTCAATTACAGAGGTAGTTGCTGGTAATAGTGAAATCATCGTTAAAAAATCAGAACACTCTGTGCCACAAGAAGAGACAGTGCAACAGTGGACCTCAAACTTCATGATCAGTGTACAGCAAAGGAATGAAACTCCACGAGTCAAATCAGAAGGAGATCTGAGTCAGTTAGTTTTAAATTCACAGCCTGAGGACGTTTATTTAACAGGATTTGGCACCATAAGTGGGAAAAGGTTGGAATATTTCTTTACAGGGCAAGAGGTTCAGCCAGATAAATATAAAACAGAAACTTTCACTACTTTTCTTTCCTACCCCACAATGGATCCAGCTAAAATCAAGAATCTGAAGAAACAAACTGAAATAATGGATAGCTTAAACCACAAAATGAGTCCTAAGGTTTTAGTTTCGCCACCACAGAAAATATCTAAGGAAATATATGTCACGTTTGGTCCTCCTGCAAGTACAAATGGATTTTCTGTTTCAGAGCAAGGTGCCCACCAACAAAAAACTTTATCAAAAGCATCTCCAGGATCTGCAGATTCATATAAATTTGATAAGCCTGAGGGAGATGTACACGATAAAGATAAAATGAGCAAAATACCCTCCCCCAAAGTGTTAGCCCCACAGACAAAGGGATCGCTTGAGAAAATGAATATCACAGGGTCAGATACCACCCCAATTACAGAGGAACAAGAGATGGTCATGAAAAAGCAAGTGGTGCTACAGTCTGAAAGTGGACAGAAGACCTGGCTGGACTCCAGCTTTTCTCTTAAGTTCCCACTTCAAAATGAAAGGCAAAAGATACCATTGGAAATAGATGTACACAAACAAACTACAGTGTACCCCAGAATACAAATATTACCAGGAATCCACATGGATGTTACAGTGTTTGATACCATAGGAGGGAAAAAACAGACATCGCCAGTTCCAGAACAAGAAGAATGTATTCTAGAATCACTTCAGAAGTCTCTTTCTTCCCACTGGACTTTTCCACTTCAATCTGGAGGTCTAGAGGGAAAAAATAAAACTGATACAAGCACTACTATAAATCTGGAGCAAAAAACATTAGAGATGGAAGAAGGGAAATTAAAAATTGACAAAAACATAGCTATCTGTCTGGGAGAGGACAAAACAGAAATGCACAAGCACACCATGGTCAACCTGGAGGAGAATAAGAAAAGGGACACAAGCAATACCATAGACGTGAACATTCCATCTCTAAAGGCACAGAAATCTCAAATTAACACTCAGATAATGACTCATACAGCAAGCAGCTACCCAATCAAGCAAAAGCATAAAAAGAAACTAGAAGTCTCTGGTGCAAAACAAAATATTCAGCCACAGAAATTGTTTCAAAAACATGTTCTGGATTCATTTTATGCCTATATTCCTCTTTCTCTCAAATTAGAAGACTGGAAAGGCAGATTAACAGTAACGGATTTGAAAAGAGAATTGAGCCCCAAATATTTAACTACGAAAATCCCAAATCATCCAATTTCACAGATTCTTAACGACACAGGACGTGGCACCCCAAGCAATAGAAAGAAATTAGAATATGACTTTAAGAAACCAAAGAAGACGATTTTGTGCAGTAAAGATGCCTCAGGAACATTTATCAGAAATCTCTCTATTTCCACAATGAGTTCATCTCAGACTGAAGAAATAGCAGACTTTGAGACAAACCTAGAAAGAGAAAAGATATCCTGTCTTTCTGAATTCCAGAAGAAATCACCAAACAGTAAGAGAAAGAGCTCAAGCGCTGTAAAGGAAGGGAACCAGAATTTCATAAACACAGTTCCACCAGATTCCCAGCCCTTTTTTGTGTTGGACAAACAACAAATGCAAAAACTTCCCAGTGTCAAATCAGAAGCAAACCTCAGCAGTGAAACAAATGAAAAAATTTTAATTCCACAAACAAAAGAAAAAAGGGTTGTTCCAGGGCATGCTAGCTCAAGGATCATAAAAGAACCTGACTTGCTTATGACTGAGGAGGAAGAAAAGGCACCAAAACCCATTCTGACACCCACAGAGTATCCACTTATGTCTGACTATCCTAAGGACAATGTGGAAATCCATATGGAAAGTCCCATAAGTATGAATATTTTCCCCCCAGGACTAGAAGAATCACAACATGGGACTCAGCCGTTCCGTATAATGGAGTGTACCTCATCCCCTGACCAGGGGGAGAAGAGTGAACTCATCCAGGACACAACCACACAAAAGGTCCAGCAACAAAAGACTTTTCTAGGAACTGTGCCGATACCATCTCAAGTTAAAAGTAATGAAATAAAAGTAGTGGCACATAGTCCAAGTGCAGAAAGTTCACTTCCTCTTTGTGAAGCAATTAAGAATATCTTTGAATCCCAGATAAAAAATATAATCCATGACAAAATTTGTGAGGATATACTGAAAAAGGTAAAAGACCACAAACCTAATGATTGGAAGTCACTGCCTTGTGCAGGGAGTCCAGAAACAACATCCACAACGATACCTCCCAAACTGCAGTCAAAACCCATTTTAGAACGTTTTACTCCCAAAGAGAATGGTAGGCTCACTAATCATTTAGATTCAAAAGCATTTGAAATCAAACTGAATCTGATACCAGAGATGGCAAAACACTCCTTCCAAAGGTTCGACTTTTATCTAAAACAGTCTATTTCAGAAGATAACAGTTGGAGGCCATATCCAAGACATAAAAAAAATTGCTTTTTGTCTCTAGAAGGGATTGATACCATAGAACTGAACTTCAAACAGAAATATGCCAAGGATTCACCTCCTTTCAGCTCTTTGAAGACATTGATTGTCAATGTTTCAAGTGACAGTGAAGAGATCATTACAAAGTTAAAGAGTACTCATAAGCTAGAAGAAAGTGGAGTGTCTTCAGTGACTTCTGCTAAGCAGATGCTATTGCCACATGTTCTCCAAAACTACTCAGTAGAAGAAAAAGACAAACTGCTCATACACTTTTCTATGAAGACATTGGAGATTCGAATGAAAGCCTTTCCCAGAATTGTAAGAGAATCATATGCAATGTCCAATCCTCAGAATATAAGGAAACCTTTATCTAAATGTATTCATTCTGGTATCAAAGTACCAAAGCGAAAAAACAGAGTTTTGTTAATTTTTGAGGAAAAATCTCTTCATCAAATAGATCTTGATTTACAATACAAATACCTTCGTTTTCTCCTGGGGCTTCCCGTCAAAAGTATATTCCCTAAACCAACTGCACTTCCCAAACATATTCTCAAGTTAAGCACAGTTGCAATATGTGAAAACATAGATTACAGAGGAGAAAATAGTGATGATCTTTGCGTTGACATGGAACTGTTAGAACAGCACATCTCTTTCAAAAAGGAAAGTCCTCATGAAAACTCATCATTGATGAGAAAATTCCTGGAACCAATCCAGGTGTGTGCTTCTGACCCTGATCAACAGGGCACAGGGCAGAGAGATACTACAGCTCTTTCAGAGTTAAAATCTCACGTGACTCCAGGAAAAGATAAGCAATGTCATGTATGGTTTCAAGAAACAGATGCAGACAAAGCTTTTGATTCAAAGACTCAGGAAAGTGCTCCCAGTTTAGTTGATTCCTATTCAACTCAGCTTTCTGAAGATTTTACTGGGAGTCAGACAAATATTGAAAGTTCAGCCAACATGGAGGAATGCTCAGCTCTTGAAGCACAAGAGAGTGAAGAATGTATGTTTTTAGAAGCCAACCCTTACTTAAGTCAGGAATCACAAAACATTCTCTTTGAATTACAGAAAGGCATTCCTTTGGAAAATCTCTGTAAGATGGAAAAAAGCAAAACTGTTTTGAGACCATTGTACAGGGAAGATTCAGGTTCCCATCCTACTAGAGGCTGTAGAAAACATTCCTCAATTGTTACACCTTCCTATGAATTCCACAAAGGCAGGAAATATAGCTCATCCTCTAAGATGCCATCTCCTGACTGGTTGTGCCACAGTTCATTAAATGCTGTGAAAGTTCCGTCTAGATCATCATCCATCCCATCTGGTGAAGGGAAGACTTCATGGACTGCAAGGTACAGAACCAGCCATTCTTTAGCTCTCTTAACGGAATCAAATGTCAAACTACACCTTGCAAAAAGGCAAGGTAAATCTCACAGGCATCTGGAGAGCAAAGAAAGAAAGAAGGCCAAATCTGACTTATGTAGAAAGAACAACATTCATTGGGACTGTGATTACAGTTATACACAGAATAAAGAGAAATGCACAAGAAAGAAGAAGGTATGTCATTATGAGTCAGAAAGGTCAAGTTACTTCCCAGGCCGACTTGAGTTATCAAAGCCTAATCAAGAGGATATCAGCTTCCATTTTGAAAGAAAACAAAACCAGCCATTTTTTTATGCCTGTATACCAGCAGATTCACTGGAGATTATACCCCAAACTGTTCGCTGGACTATTCCCCCAAGAACTTTAAGGAAGACAAACTTCAGAGTTCCTCTGGTGGCAAAGATTTCAAGTTCTATCGATATATGGACTTCATCCAAAAAGTTCTTGGAGTCCCTCTTGGGGTCCTTCAGTCCAGTTAATCCAAATTGATATGAGCATATCTAGATTCATCTGAAGTAGAAAGCTGATTCCTATTGTGGTATTCTGTGAAAAATAAAATCAGATAAAGTCAAATGTTTCCTCATGAAGTGTTTTCTAAACTGATATATTTTATTTCTGCAATAGATTTGTACAATTGGGAAGCCCAGGTGGCTCAGCGGTTTAGCGCCACCTGCAGTTCAGGGCGTGATCCTGGAGACCTGGGATCGAGTCCCATTTCGGGCTCCCTGCATGGAGCCTGCTTCTCCCCTTTGCCTGTGTCTCTGCCCCGCACCGCCCCCCACACCGTGTCTCTATGAATAAATAAATAAAATCTTTTAAAAAAAAGATTTGCACAATTGTTCTGGGAGGATAGGATGGAAGAGCAGATGACTTTGGGCTTGATCTCCTTTTAGTTTATGTTGCTTCCTCATAATCCCATGGGAGAGGAGCAGAGACGTGGAAGCCCTCTTTCCATCCCACCCCAGTGCCCGAGGATGAGTTTGAAGAAATGGAGCCTGTAAGTGAGATAGGGAGAAAATGACCGGAAAGTTGGGAGGGCATAGAAACTAAAGGGAAAGAGTTTTAAATAGCAGTGAGTGTTCAACAAAGGTCACAAAATACAGGGGTGAGTTCTGGTTTTCAGAAACCAGATTCCTGTGATGACTTTGTCCTTCCTCTGGACCTTAGTGGCAGCTTGTTGACCTGTACCTCATGACCATCTGCCATTGGTGGGTCACCAAGTCATTTTGGTACCTCACTCCAGAGCACCTGCCACTGTGCAGGAACATTCTCTGGGAGGGGCAGAAAGTCGTCTGAAGACCCAGGGAAAGAAGACTGACTCCCAGTGTAGACCTGCCTTCCTATGACCACCTGCAGGTGGACTTCTCTGCCCTTGGCTTTAAGTCCCCTGGCTCAGGGGTGCAGCAGGCTCACCTGGTGGCACAAGTGACTGAGAGCCTTCACCTTTGTTCTCTGGGCTGATGACCACTGCTCAAGCTCTTGGAGGAGGGCCAGAAAACCTGAGTCAACTCAGGGCAGGGGTGGGAGGAAAACAATACAGATGTGGGGGATGGAGGTGGGGGTAGGGCAGCAAGATTTTTAGCAACAGGTGAATATTTTTTAAATGTATTTTGGGGGCTCCGGGGCGGGGGGCAAGTCACTTGAGCATCTGCCTTCAGTTCAGGTCATGATCACAGAGTCCTGAGATAAGCACCACATCGGGCTCAGAGGGGAGTCTGCTTCTCCCTCTCCCTCTGCCCCTCTTCCTGCTTGCTCTCATTCTCTCTCAAATGAATAAATAAAATCTTTGTAAAAAATGTGTTCTGCACTGGCTTATTCCTGGGATGTGAATAAAGTATTGGTCTTATTCAGAAAATAAATTTGGGGGGCTCAGAAATATTCTATAATGTAAATCATCTTATTAAATGACAAGATAGGGATCCCTGGGTGGCGCAGCGGTTTAGCGCCTGCCTTTGGCCCAGGGCGTGATCCTGGAGACCCAGGATCGAATCCCACGTCGGGCTCCCGGTGCATGGAGCCTGCTTCTCCCTCTGCCTGTGTCTCTGCCTCTCTCTCTCTCTCTCTCTCTCTGTGACTATCATAAATAAATAAAAATTTTAAAAAAATTAAAAAAAAATAAATGACAAGATAGATGATAGTTTTTCTTATCACTATTAAATTCATGCTACAAATAACAATGCTTCCTTTATCATAAATGCTACTTGATTTTTTTTACATTTGTTTTTACTTAAGTTCAATTTGCCAATATATAGTATAAAACCCAGTGCTCATCTCATCAAATGCCCTACTAAGTGCCCGTCACTCAGTTAACCCATCACCCCACCCACCTCCCCTTCCACAACCCTTTGTTTCTCATGGTTTGTCTCCCTCTCTAATTTTTCCCACTCAGTTCTCCTTCTTTCCCCTTATAATCCCTTTCACTATTTCTTATATTCCACCTATGAATGAAACCATATGATAATTGTCCTTCTCCAATTGACTTATTTCACTCAGCATAATACCCTCCAGTTCCATCGCTGTCGAAGCAAATGGTGGGAATTTGTCCTTTCTGATGGCTGAATCATATTCCATTGTGTATATATAGACCACATCTTCTTTATCCATCGTTCATCTTTCAATGGACATTGTGGCTCCTTCCACAGTTTGGCTATTGTGGACATTGCTGCTGTGAACATTGGGGTCAGGTGTCCTGGCGTTTCACTACATCTGTATCTTGGGGGTAAATACCTAATAGTGCAATTGCTGGGTCAGAGGGTAACCTCCACACAGTTTCCAGAGTGGCTGCACCAGTTCACATTCCCGCCAACAGTGCAAGAGGGTTGCCTGTGTTCTCTAGGATTTTGATGGATGCTTGTCTCACATTTAGATCTTTCATCCATTTTGAAAACTCAAAATGTGTGTCTTTGTGTATGGGTTAAGAGAATGGTCTAGTTTCATTCTTCTGCATGTGGCTGTCCAGTTTTCCCAGCACCATTTATTGAAGGGACTGTCCTTTTTCCAGTGGATGTTCTTTCCTGCTTTGTTGAATATTAGTTAGCCATAGAGTTGAGGGCCCATTTCTGGATTTCTATTCTGTTCCATTGATCTATGTGTCTGTTTTTGTGCCAGTACCACACTGTCTTGATGACCACAACTTTGTAGTAAATCTTGAAATCTGGCATTGTGATGCTCCTGGCTCTGGTTTTCTTTTTCTTTCTTTCTTTTTTTTTATTGAAGTTCAATTTGCCAGCATATAGCATAACACCCAGTGCTCATCCCATCAAGTGCCCCCCTCAGTGCCCATCACCCCCACTCCCCGCCCACCTCCCTTTCTACCACCCCTTGTTCGTTTCCCAGAGTTAGGAGTCTCTCATGTTCTGTCACCCTCACTGATATTTCCCACTCATTTTTCTCCTTTCCCCTATAATCCCTTTCACTATTTTTTATATTCCCCGTATGAATGAAACCATATAATGTTTGTCCTTCTCTGATTGATTTATTTCACTCAGCATAATACCCTCCAGTTCCATCCACGTCGAAGCAAATGGTGGGTATTTGTTGTTTCTAATGGCTGAGGAATATTCCATTGTGTACATAGACCACATCTTCTTTATCCATTCATCTTTCAACGGACCCCGAGGCTCCTTCCACAGTTTGGCTATTGTGGACGTTGCTGCTAGAAACATCAGGGTGCAGGTGTCCTAGCATTTCACTGCATCTGTATCTTTGGGGTAAATACCCAGCAGTGCAATTGCTGGGTCGTAGGGCAGGTCTATTTTTAACTCTTTGAGGAACCTCCACACAGTTTTCCAGAGTGGCTGCACTGGTTCACATTCCCACCAACAGTGCAAGAGGGTTCCCCTTTCTCCACATCCTCTCCAACATTTGTTGTTTCCTGTCTTGATAATGTTCACCTTTCTCACTGGGGTGAGGTGGGATCTCATTGTGATTTTGATTTATATTTCTCTGATGGCCAGTGATGCGGAGATTTTCTCATGTGCTTGTTGGCCATGTGTATGTCTTCCTCTGTGAGATTTCTGTTCATGTCTTTTGCCCATTTCATGATTGGGTTGTTTGTTTCTTTGCTGTTGAGTTTAATAAGTTCTTTATAGATCTTGGATACTAGCCTTTTATCTAGTCATTTGCAAATCTCTTCTCCCATTCTGTAGGTTGTCTTTTAGTTTTGTTGACTGTATCCTTTGCTGTGCAAAAGCTTCTTATCTTGATTAAGTCCCAATAGTTCATTTTTGCTTTTGTTTCTCTTGCTTTCATGGATGTATCTTGCAAGAAGTAACTGTGTGTCTTTGTGTATGGTGCAAGAGAGTGGTCTAGTTTCATTCTTCTGCGTGTGGATGTCCAATTTTCCCAGCACCATTTATTGAAGAGACTTTTTTTCCAGTGGATAGTCTTTCCTGCTTTGTCAAATATTAGTTGACCATAAAGTTGAGGGTCCACTTCTGGATTCTCTATTCTGTTCCATTGATCTATGTGTCTGTTTTTGTGCCAGTACCACACTGTCTTGATGACCACAGCTTTGTAGTACAACCTGAAATCTGGCATTGTGATGCCCCCAGATATGGTTTTCTTTTTTAAAATTCCCCTGGCTATTCGGGGTCTTTTCTGATTCCACACAAATCTTAAAATAATTTGTTCCAACTCTCTGAAGAAAGTCCATGGTATTTGATAAGGATTGAATTAAATGTGTAAATTGTCCTGGGTAGCATCGACATTTTCACAATATTAATTCTTCCAATCCATGAGCATGGGATATTTTTCCATCTCTTTGTGTCTTCCTCAATTTCTTTCAGAAGTGTTCTATAGTTTTTAGGGTATAGATCCTTTACCTCTTTGGTTAGGTTTATTCCTAGGTATTTTATGCTTTTGGGTGCAATTGTAAATGGGATTGACTCCTTGATTTCTCTTTCCTCAGTCTCATTGTTAGTGTATAGAAATGCCACTGACTTCTGGGCAATGATTTTGTATCCTGCCACACTGCCAAATTGCTGTATGAGTTCTAGCAATCTTGGGGTGGAGTCTTTTGGGTTTTCTATGTATAGTATCATGTCATCTGTGAAGAGGGAGAGTTTGACTTCTTCTTTGCCAATTTGAATGCCTTTAATGTATTTTTGTTGTCTGATTGCTGAGGCTAGGACTTCCAGTACTATGTTGAATAGCAGTGGTGAGAGTGGACATCCCTGTCGTGTTCCTGATCTTAGGGGAAAGGCTCCCAGTGCTTCCCCATTGAGAATGATATTTGCTGTGGGCTTTTCGTAGATGGCTTTTAAGATGTCAAGGAAAGTTCCCTCTATCCCTACACTCTGAAGAGTTTTGATCAGGAATGGATGCTATATTTTGTCAAATGCTTTCTCTGCATGTATTGAGAGGATCATATGGTTCTTGTTTTTTCTCTTGTTGATGTGATTGTTTTATGAGTGTTGAACCACCCTTGCATCCCAGGGATAAATCCCATGTGGTCATGGTGAATAATCTTCTTAATGCACTGTTGGATC